GGAAACGGTTTTTTATAAAAAACTCTCTTAAACCTTGAAAAATTGAAGTCTGGGTAAACCATAATATTAGATGTATCTAAATTATATATATATTATTTTTCTGCAAAAGTGCGTTAAAAAAAGGATATATTGCATTTTTAACCTAATTTTCTTTAAATCTATAATCTGAACAATACTTGTTTTTGATTTCTCATAGACGGATAGAGTTATCATAACTACCAGAAGCTAAAGTATTTCCATCAGGAGAGAAACAGACTGACATAACATAAAGTTCACGACCATCTAATTTGGCTTTTTATTATCCTGTTTTGACATCCCATAGACGGATAGACTTATCATAACTACCAGAAGCTAATGTATTTCCATCAGGAGAGAAACAGACTGAGTAGACAGTACTAGTATGAACATCTAATTTATTCAAAGGATAGATTTTCAAGTTTTTCCATTTACAATAACACTTTCATGCTCCACTAAATTGTTCTTTAATTCTGATATATTTCAATCGCATTTTATATATTAACCACAAATTAAAAAATCATTCTTTATCTTGATTTTTTCATAGCTTTAATTGGTGAGATCAATCCTCTTCTAAACTCATGAGAGAATCTTTTTTATATGTATTGTTAATTTTTTCTTATTAAGATTAGCGAGAATAAATGAATTTGGTGAGATTGGAACAAATATAATACTAATTGATTCTCATTTTTAATTCAAATTATAGATTTGAAGTGATCATTATAAATATTTTTTAATTGATTTTCAGTCGATACATTCTTATTGAACAATATTGTTAATAAATTATTACCCAGGATTTCACTACATGATGAGTATAAATTTTGAAATCTTTTATTTTAATTTATTTTGGCAGAACAATAATGATTCACTTTTTTAGCGAGCTTAAAATTAAAATTTACATTTCACATACCATTCTTATAGGTCCTAACAGATAAGAAATGGGTTATAAACAGATGAAATAATGCTAATTATCCTAAAATGAGAATGTTTTTTGGTTCCCCATTAAAATTAATAACTTTCTCCTAATATTTCTTAATGAACGCTTTGATTTACAGTAATAGCATACTTAATTTGACAATTGCAAAATTAAGGCCACTTTTTTAAATTAGATTTGAACTTTCCTTTTGGCATTTTCCAAATCCTTTTTGATCTGAAGGTTACTTGAAAACTCTATTTGAATTAATTTCCACAGCATTCTCATATTTCACTAAATTTGTTATTTTCAGTAAACTTTGACATGTAAATGATGATCTGTCCCTGTTTAAGTATTGATCATATTCTGTTGACAAAATCTCCAAATACTGTGTAAACCCAAATTCTAGGAAACTTCATTGTGTTTTCAATCTATAATTACACTTGACTTTTTCATTTTTTTTAAATAATAAATATTTTTTGTATTTATTTATGGATCTGAAATCCCTCTATTCCTTTCAATAATTACTTTTTTATTTGTGGATAGTAGAATGGTTTCTCTCATTTTGAACAATAATTAGTATCATTAGAAATTTTCTCAAGGACCCTCAATTAAAAGTTAACTCAGTTTAAATTTTAATTTATCCTTAAATTCCTTACTGATCACAAAAATTTTGAGAATCCTTATCATTTTGTTTATTTTAAGTTTTTTATCAGCATTGAATTATTTTGCAATTAGACTATAATCTTATCCTCAAGAATTGATTTATTTTTTATGCTCCCCAATAAATATGTTTTCATTATTACATTTACTTCGCAGTCATCACTATTATTAAATAATCTAAAAAATATTTCGTTTTGTTGTCTAATCTCTGTGTAATTAATAGCGATTTTTTTTTATTTTAGAAACAGACTATATTTGGGGATAAATTTATAACAAAAAACAATCACTTAGGTCTTTTACTTTAAATCACTTGTAACTATATGATTTTAGTTTTTGGGATATGGTTTCTTATAGTTTCAATTTAGATTCTCAATACAAATCTTGCAAATAACATTTGGTGAATTACATTATTCGTTAATAGTAAATGCTTAATTAATTAAAAAATCATAAATGAATATATAACTATATTATTGATTCAAAATAATACTTTATTTTTATTTTTTATCTGTAGAATAGAATTCGTGAAATATATAGTTTATCCTTTAAAGCCCTCACATTTAGATTATGCATTTATTGATGCAATAATATATTATTTAGATGTTAAGAGAATTTTATTTTGGTGGTGATGATTCTCGTATTACAAATTTTAACTTAAAGTTAGAACATCAAAATCAGTAGAAAATGCAACAAGATATTATTATTAAAACGAAAAGGTCAAATTAAATGTATTAATAGGTCTATATTAATATATATTTATTTACTATTTATGTGATAGCATGTTGATTTATGTTCACTCAATCTGAATCAATTAGAAGCACTAAGATTTCATAAAGAAAAAACGATTTTATCTAAGATATGAATTTAAAGTAAGATTATTTAAATTTAGATAACTATTTCAATTCTTTATTGAAACTTCCCAAACTAAAATTGATCCATCCTCCATGAAGTTTTGCGCCATTGGCATCAAGGGCAACAGAAACAACTTCATGCTTTTACACCTTCTTCACTCCTCCAGCAACCTAAGCTAAATGATTAATTATAATTAATACTTTCAGTGTGGTGATCTAATGTAACGATTGGTGTCTTGGTTTCAGCTTTTTCTTCTTAAGATATTTACGAAACTTTAATTCCATTCTCTATTGCAGCAACAATACAATTTTATTATGGGTGGAAAGCAAACTAAATATTTGATGAATTTACTTACTTAATTGATGATTGCTCCTGCATTATATTCAAAGGCTGGTTTCTTCAAGGCAGTAATATTACAAATGTACAACTTCTTGTCTTTACATCCAGTAGCAATATATTCACCAGATGGATTAATGGCAACGGGGTTGATTTAAGAATCATGAGCCTTGAATTGGAATCTTTTTGTAAAATTTTGATTCCAAACCTTAAGCCAACCATTCCAAAAAACTGTAACAAAATATAGTTGGATGTTTTTAATGATTGGTGAGCTAATCGAATGAGTATGGAAATGATTTGACTTGGTGAGTTTTTCTTCAGCCTTGACATTGTATAATTTAAATTTTCGTTCAGCTCCACCACAAAGGGCTCATTGCACATGTAAAGATTTTCTTCTTGTTTCCAATAAATCTATATATGCAAGTTCCATTAACCAAATCCCAGAATCTCAATTCTTTGTCCCATAAGGCAGATAATAAATATTGATTATCATTTGACAAAACCAAATTGCAATCAAATTGAGAGTGTCCTTTCAATTGTTTTCTTGGTTAACCAGCCAAATCGCCATCTAGTTGTTTGTATAGTTTCCAAACTAGTAATGATTTGTCTCCTGAGCCTGAAATGACTAAATAAACTAAAGTGGGATCTTAATTTGTAATTATGGTGGTAACCCAATCACCATGACATCTCAAGTAACCAAGCTTTTTAAATTCGACCTAATTGTCATTTTACTCAAGATTTAACAAAAAAGATTTAATTTTCATTTCTAATTTAAATTCATTATTATGCATCATATCTGCAAATATTTCACATCATATTAAATAATTTTCATTTCTTTTGATTTAGCTTCTATTCAATTCACTAGCCACAACATCCTCCAATTTCTTGAGCTAATTTTTTTTCCTTTCTACTCTAATGGCTTTTATTTCTCCTATAAATATTGATTATATTCCTCAGCTGTTAATTTTCTTCCTGTTTAATAGCCAAAGTAACTCATAGCTAATTCTTTCTCTTTTTTTAATGAGTATCCACTAAACAAAGTAAAGAGAACAGAGAAGTTTTCAATCTTAATATCTTATTTGACAGGATCTTCCTTTTTCTCTAATTCCTCACTATCTTTTTTATCCTATTATTCGTTCTTCTCTTTTTGTTTTTCCTCTTCCGATTTCTCCGTTGAACAATAATTTCAATATTAATACATCACTTCCTTTCCTAATTTGAATTACTAGCCTTATTTGGTTTAAACTAAATAAATGATACAAAATTATTTTCTCTTGTAATAATAATTAATTTTATTTTATCATTCTATTTTAAATCTAATTCATCTCTTTTTATTTCTTTGTCTTTCTCTTAGTAATTCTTGATTAATCTAATAAATTAATTAAATAATATTACATTCCAAGTTTCGCTTATAAAACTGTTATCGTCCTTTCTATATTCAGTCCACAACAGATCTATTAAACCTTCGCTTGGGTTATGATATATTGTAATTTTCTTAATTCTATGGTTGATTGAAAACTACCCCAAAAAATGAATGTCATCACATTAAAATGTTTATTGATTATGTTCATATCCAAACCAATCTCTTTTAGATACTCTTTGCTTAGTTCTAAATACGGTTTCGATAATACTCAAAGCTATAACTTCAATCTTATCTTTATCCTCTTTTTTCATCTTGTTTCTATGATTACGTCCTCTTTTTTCTTCTAATTGTTAAAAATAAAGTTTAAATGGTTCTTGTAAGAATTATTAAACTTTTGTAGCAGCATCCTTTTATTATTTAGCCTTTAGGGGTGATAATTAAGAACATTAACTACTCTTTAATTTTTCCTATTTTCCTTTCTCCTTTAAGTCTTTTTCAACTCTAACCTTTTCTTTCAATTTTTCCAATCTTTCTTTTTTTCAATTTCTTTTTCTCTTTCTTTTTATGGCATTCTACATATGGACTCTTTCTAACTATAAATTATTGATTGAACCCTCTAATTATTCCTTCTCTTATTCATTCTTTTTTTATTTCTTTTATTTTTATTTGTCAGATAAGCTTTAAATTAATATAGTTAAATTAAATTTTGTTCATCTGCCTTAGGATTGTTAAATTATTTCAATATTTTTGATGATTTATTTTTTTTTCATTTATTTTATTGTCTTTTTCTCTAAGCATGCATAAATCTTTATTCAATTAATAAATCTAAGCAACTTCATCCATTCCTTACTCGATCTTGTCAAGCTTTGTGAATTATTCTGACTCAATTTAGAAAGCTAGTAATTATTGGATTTGTTAGATTGCTGATAATTTTTGGATTTCAACTTTCATTGTTTCAAATAACCCTGTTTTCTCATTAAATGTTTTTACAAATACTAGAATAATTTTTGATATCTTTGGTAACATTATCAGTTGTAATTATTTTCCGACCTGTTCATTATTGTTGGTGTTAATTAGCCATGAAACCGAAATAGATAAGATAATTAATAGTTAATATTTTATAATTTTTGATATAAATTATGTATTTATATAGAAAATATAAGTAATTAAATATCTAAATTAGATCATTTAAACAAAATGAAGCTTAAAAAAAATGATGACTAAATGCATTAAGTAATTTTCAACTTGAAAACCTAGGAATAATAGATGCTATATAATAAGAAATATGCATTTTTTACATTGTCAAACGATAAATATGTCTAAATTGTTTGTGAATTACCCAACATTTTCACTGTAGAAGATGCTATAACATTCACTCTTAGTCAATTCTAATTGGAAATAGGTAAAAAGAATCAAAATAATTACTTAGGAGAAAACTTCAAACCAAAAAAAGGAGGTGATTACGTATTAAAGATTTCAAAAAAGTCTGGGCAGCCAAAAGATGATTTGCCAAGTAATTAGCTGGATATTATTTTGGCATAGATTTAGATAATGAATAAATACTGTTCGAAACAGGGAGTTAAACATTCACTTTAGTGTAGAAAAATAATCTATAAAATTCTGAAAATTAAAAATAACCTTAATCTTCAGTGACTACAACAATGTGCTCGTAATAAGAACAATAGGATATATCCATCAAGTCTAGAGTATCATATACGAATGGATTAAATAAAGGAAAAGTAGTCTCATTATACATATTATTCTACATAGAAACCCATCAAAGAAAATGATAAGAACGAAAAGAGCGGAGGTTTTTGCTTTTTCAATAAGTGTTTTTGATAATTATAGAAAATATTAACTAATTACTTTAAAAATTATATATTATATAAAAATAAAATTTTGTTATAATAAAATAAAATTGTAATTTTTGGGATATAAATCTTATAAAACATTCAAAATCTTATTATTAATATTTTTTTTAATTGTGATAATTTTAGTGCTATTAAAATGATCCAAAGGTTAATGTCTTATGGGAAAATGTCAAATGCATGTTAATAAGGTATGAAATATGAGTGATTTGTTTTAGTACTCTCAAAATCACTGAATAAAACATCCAAAAGCTATTTTAGTCAGGCACCTTAATAAGGTTCTTCAAACACTGAGCTTGTGAAAATTTTTGCAGCATTTTTCGGTATAGTAGGTTTGGGTACTGGGGGATATGTTGCTTATTAAAATTCTCAATAATAAAAGAAGCAAGAAGCAAAAGCAAAACAGACTCATATATCAAATTAAACAATTGACAATTTGAGGCAAAAATCAATTGAAAATGAAGAGTAAAAAAAGGAAGAAATCATTACCATGTTTTCAGATGTTAATGATAGAATGCTCCGATATAGAGGAGATCCAACAAGTGAGAAAATGCTTGTATTTACATAATACTATTCAAATTATAGGCTGATTATACAATTTATGGAGACTTGAAATGGTTTGAAGTAGATCCTGAAGAATGGGAGAAACCAGAAGAGGAAATGATAATGAAGGATGAGAATGAAATTGTTAAACATCCAATTAGAAGGGCTTTGATAAATGAAAGACTCACTCATGCTTTTGAAGCTGAAAGGTACTCAATATTTTTAATTTCAAAGAATATTGTAAAGTATTTTTGTAAATGTAAATGATGTACTTTCAGAAATTGAAAGGACTGGAACATATACTCCCCCTGGCATCTTCTTTAGGTTTTATGGTTACGTGTACTTCCAAATCAGAAGAAAACCAATTAATATTGAAAATTTGGTTAAGGCCTAAAAATATATTTCTGTATTTATTAATCTTAATCATAGCTATTTGATTTATTCTTCTAATACTAAACACCTGTTCTATATTATCACAATTAATATCTTGAAATACCCTTAAAACCTGCTATTTTTGATGTAAATAACAAAAGTATTTATTTAAGAACATAGATTGGCTACCAAATGCTTATATTAATTCTAAATAACAGGCTAAAATTTACCTAACTGGTAAACCAAAGCACGTTTTTTCTATGAGAATCAAATAAGGAACAGTTGATGAATCTACTCAAAGATTTGCATGGACAAACCATTACAAATGAAAATATATATACAATACATTAAATGAAATATTAAAATCTTACATTAATCATAATTTTGGAACAAATATTTATTATTACCAATCTTTTTTTTCTTTATTAAAAAACTGTTTTAACAATTGTATTTGTTACCTACTTAAAAAAGGTACTTTGTGCCCTTGATCATGAAGTATTACTAAAGGATTCAAAAATTATGTTGATAATCCTAAAGATCTTAAATCTAAAATATTCTAAATACCTGTCATATAAAAAGTCATTTATTCCTATAAAGTGAATAGAGGGAATCTTGCAAAAGATCAGTCTTCCATTAGGCAAATTCATCATTGAGCCAGAGGAAAATATAAAATAATTAAATTCATAACCTAGATCCACTTCTTTATTCTATAATAATGTAGCTAACCTAGCAGCCACTGCAGAACCTTAAGAAAATCCCAATACTCCATAAAAGGGGCCTTATTCCCTAAGAATTCTAATAACATAATCTAATGATTCCTAAAACACTAAGATTATCTAATCTAAATATACCTGCATCAATATTGCTATTATTTAATTTCAAAAAGTTCCCCCATGTAAAAAGTGGTTTATTTTCTATCATTTTGGCAAAATTCTAGGGGATTACAACCTAAGAAACATGGACATTTCTTTTAATTGATATAGGACCATCTAAAGTAATAAATTCTAAATCTTAAAATTCTTTCTCAAATTATCTTAGTTAATATGAATGAAATTCTTTATTTGCTCCATTTCCATGTAAGCAGAGTATTTTTTTTTTTTTACATTGATTATTTTTTATGTGATAAACTAAATATTGATCTTCATTAAATATATATATAATCACAATTTAGCTAATTTAGGTACATAGACTGTTTTTGACCAATCTTATAAGGGATTCTCAAAAAATCGTTTTAGATCTTTAACTTATTCATAAGTTAATGTAGGAACTTTATGGCCTTGATTATGATATATAACATAGGGATTTAGGAATTGTACTACTAATCCCATTGATCTATAATATAGATTTTTTATTTTTACCTATCCACAACAAAATCATTAAACCCTATTAAATGAAGGGAAGGAATTCGGCATAAGAATTATTTTGTTTCAGGAATATGGTTTGCTTATGCTGAAACAAAAATAAAGCATTTTAAGTCATAGCCTAAATCAATCTCTCCAGCAGCAATTTTAGAGGCTAACCTAACAGCAATAGCAGATCCTTATGAAAAACCCATCACTCCAAAAAAAGGTCCTTATTCCTTTAATATTTTCACTACTTCCTCTAGTGCTGGAGAAAATACTAAGTTTATAAATCTAAGCTTACTTGAATCAATATCATTGTTTTTAAATTACATAAAATTCAACCAACTGTAAATATTCTAATTCTCCAACATTTTGGCTATACTTTCATCCATAATTACCTAAAAGATTTTAGAAAATTTTACGTTCCTATTTAATGGAATAGGTCCATTAAGTGTAATGAAATCAATATCTTTAAATTCTTTCTTGAACTATCTCAATTGATAGGATAACATCTCTGAATTTGTGCCAAATCCATGAAAACAAAGAACCTTTTATTTCACTTCCATTCTTATAATATATTTAATAATTTAGTATAATGAATTTTAATTAGGAATCTCTATGATTTAAATAAATATATTAAAATTTAAAAAACAATTAGAAATTATATCACTCTCATTATCATCTTTTAAAATTAAAAATTGCAATTTAGATTTTAATTGATTATCTCACATAAAATAAGGCTAATTATTATAATATATGAATATTAGCATACTATCATTAATCTAAAATATAAGTAGAGTCCTGAAATACAATATTATAAGGATTAATGCAACTTAGAGTTGTTTTGATAGGCATAAAACAGTAATTTAAATCTCATAGATAAGTAAAAATGTTTAACGTAAATAAACAAATAATATTGAATTTAAATAGAGACCTAAGCAAAATAATATTATTTTAAAACAATTATAAGTCTCATTTCACTTATATCTTTAAATTATCAAAGACAAGTCAAACTAATTAAATTTTTATCACAACAAAATTTGTTAAGTAAATAGAAGTTGCTTTTACTCTAAAAAAAAAAATTTAATGCTGTTGATTATATAATAATAGAATAATTATAAAGGAATCAACATTTAATATTCTTAATCAAAATTTAGCTAATTGAGGTACATACACAGTTTTTTTCCAATCTTGTGTTGGATTTTAAAAAAATTTCTTTAAATCTTTCACCTATTCAAAAGTTAGAGTGGGAACTTTGTGACCCTGATTATGATAGATTACATAAGGATTTAAAAATTGCACTACTAATCCTAAAGATCTATTTTATTAAATAAACATACCTATCTACTAAAAAATCATTTATTCCTATTAAATGAAGAGATGGAACTCTACATAAATAGGATTTATTGTCTATGTTACCAAAAGGGTTAATTTAAGCTGAAACAAAAATAAAGCATTTTAGATCATACCCTAAGTCCACCTCTCCAGCTGCTATTTTAGATGCTAATCTAACAGCAATAGAAGATCCTTATGAAAATCCCATAACTCCAAAAAAAGGACCTTATTCCTTTAATATTTTCACAACTTCTTCAAAAGCAGGCGAATAAACTTAATATAGCATTTGAAAATACTTGAATTCATATCATTATTTTTCATATGAAGAAAACTCATCCAGCTATAAATGTTCTAATTTTCAAGCATCTTTGCTAAATTCTCATCCATAATAATCTAATTATATTAGAAAAATATACATTCCTATTTAATGGAATAGGTCCATTAAGTGTGATGAATTCAATATCTGTGAACTCTTTCTTAAACTATCTTAATTAATAAGATAGAATATCTGAATTTGTACCAAATCCATGAAAACAAAGAACTTTTTATTTAACTTGCATTGATTTTATTTTATCACTATAAATATATTTATATTGTACATTTTATATAAGCATTATATTTAAAAAAAATTGAATTTAAACAATATTCTAAATATTTCAGCTCACTATTATTGGGATGCAAATAAATTCTAAATAATTAAATGTCTGTACTTAAATTTTCCATTTCAAATGATATATAAAACTTGATATTAAAACATAGATTTTATAATTATCTTATCATATAAAATTTATTTATATTATTTCAAAATTTTATTCCTTTTTTGATGGAAAGAAAACCAATAGGAGAGAAACTAAGTAATTTAAGTGCTCTTATCTAAAAATAATAACCCAATAAAGAGTATTATTATAAAAATATCATAAGACAATAGGATGAATAAGATTAGAAATGCAAGTAAATATTTCCAAATATGAATCAACCGGAAAATTAAGATAATGGATCATAGACAGAACAAGATAAATTGAAATAAGTTTAAAATATCATTTAAGATTAAAAGCAATTTTAAAAGTAAACAATTGATACATAAAATAGTGATATATCAAAACTTCTAGATAGACTTGGAAAATTATAAGAATCAACTTCATAATCATAATCAAAGACACCAAGTGTTAAATAGTAATATCCTCCTAATTAGTATGATCCGACACCAAATTAAACACCCAACAATCGAATTGTTTAAAGTGTTTCTGCTTTACCAAAATAAACACCACCATAATAACTTCCTTAACCTGTCTAATTGTTTCCAACAAATAGTCCAATAAGTGATTAAACTTACAGAAATTTGAAAGAATAAAATGTTGATTTATTAAGAAATGTAGCTTAATTATAACCTTTAGTATAAGTAGTAAATGAAGTAATTATAACATTAATTTTTAGCTTAAAGTCGCTTTGTAATAAACAAATGATAAAATAAGAGAATAATAAAAATAAATCGAGTAATTGCTTAAAGAAAATATGTAATTAAAATAGCAAGTCATTTTAAATGAATAAGAGAAAATAAACAATAAAAGATAATTTGATGATATAATAGCTAATAATCAATTAGCTCATTAAAGAGATTTATAAGCAATAAAATTTTAGGCTCAAGAAAATTTAAATGGTTTAGAATAAACATGGAAATAATAATATGTTCTATTAAAAACAGAATCTGATGCTGTTATTAATAATCTAAATTCTAAATTAGCTATTTAACAAAAAGATAATTAGAAATAACAAGATATTATAAATAATGTAGTAAATCAAAATAAAGAAATCTAAAAAAGTTTATGTAATATATACTAAATTAAATTTAGAGGATAGAATTAATGATTTAAATATGTATCATTAATCGCTAGAAGAAAAGAAATTGGAATATGAAAAACTCTAGAACAATTACAATGCTTCTTTGGAAAAATATGAAAATAATACAAAATAACTAATAAATTAATATACTTAAAAATAAAGGCAATAAGAATAACTAATTAATGAATTAAAATAACATAATACTATCTTAAGTTAATAAATGGTTGAATTGGATTAAACTCACAAATAGACAATATAAAGTTAATAAATTTAAGTTTAGCATCATATTAATGGAAAACTAGAGGAAGTACAAAAAATCAGTATAGTAGAAAAATAACAATTATAATAATTGTATGAAGATAAGATAAATAAATTAAGCCAAGATGTATGATATCATCTATATTTATTTTAGAAAGAATCTCAACTTAGTTAATAAAAATAATCTATTATATTTTTAGAACAAAAGATAGCAGTTTTAGTATAGGAGAATAAAACTTTAGTCGAGTAAATGAATAAAATAAAGAAAAAAGCAGATAATTTAGAATAAGCTATGATAAATTAAGAAGCAGCATATTAAAATCTAACAAAAGATTCACAATATAAAACATTATCACTTACCAAATAAATTTAAGAATTAAATTCTATGATTGGAAATTCGAACTAAAATAATTTTTAAAATTTTACTAGAAAATCAGACACTTATGATTCAACAGAAAGAATATAATAGTTAGAATAATAATTATCTTATAAAAAGGAAGAAATGGATCTTCTTTTGCATCATTTAGATTAAGTGTTTGAAATAAACAGAGATTTTGAGAATAAAATCAAAACATTATAAGCTTAACTTGAATTAATGGAAGAAAAAAATAATAGAGAATAAGATTAAAGTAATAATTTAATAAAATAATAAAAATAATAAATTGATGAATTAAAATCTTAATTAGAAACCAGTTAGAAGTTAGATAGCAAGAAGGAATCTTAGATAAAAGAACTATATTAAAAATTAAATGAAGAAGAATAATTAAGAAGAAAATAAACTGATTAATTAATGATGAGTGAAAAACAATAATTCTAAGATGTAATCAATTTTGTATAATAATATAGTAAATTAAATAACTAAAAATTAAGAATGTGGAACTGATAAATTATAATGAAATATTAGAATAAAATTTAAAAGAATTATAAGAGAAATATGATTATGCTATAAAAGAATAAAGTGAATAGAAATAAGTAAAATCTATTTGATTATTTAGCGTTTTGAAGAATAAAAATAAATAATTGAATAATAAATTTAAATGTTGCAAAAGAAGAATTTAGACACTCAAATTACACAACCAAATTAGTTAAAACGAGAATAAAAAAATGTTGATTTAGAAAAATTAATTAATGAAAAAGATTAATAAATTAAGTTATTAGAATAAAAACTAAAAGAAAATTAAATAAAAACTAAGGATTTGGATTCCAAATAAAAATCAGTAGAGGAAATTGAAAATTAAAATATTTCTATGTAAAAATATTATGAAAATAAAATAAAAGAATTAGAATTAAGAATTGGAACATATGATGATTAAATAAAAATCAATAATAAATAGCTTTCAATTTATTAATAAAAAATAAAAAATTTAGAATAATAATTATTAGCATATGAAGATGACATATCAAGATTAAATGACATTAATTAAAATTTAGAAGAATAACTTGCTGTTTAGAAGAACAATAAATTTACATCTTAACCAAATAATTCAGGTGATCTTTAATAATTATAAGATGCTAATTTGAGATTATAAGAATAATTGAATTTAGTAAAAAAAGAGAAAATATAATAGACTTCAAAATATGAAAGTTAAATGTAATAACTTCAAGATTAAAATAATAATAATAAAGAAACGATTAATTAGCTCAAAAGAGAAAATCAGTAAATTAGTGAGAATTTGAATAATAGAATTATTTTGCTTCAATAATAGCTTGATTCCTTTTAGAAATAAATTAGTAGCTTAAAGCAAGATAAATTAGATTTAAACAAAGAATATTTAAGTTTAAATGAGTAAAATAAGACTTTAGCAGATTAAATTACAAAATTAAAAAAAGAAAAAGCCTAAATGACAATGAAATTAATGAATTCAGGAATGGCAAACTTAATTGGAAGTTAAGTATCATCATATTCAGAAAAAAATTTATGAGATGATTTTATATTTATAATATGATAATTCAAAATACAATAAGTTTATCTTTAGAACTAAAAATAATATGAAATCGACAGTTTTTACTAATATACTGATAATCTTTATATACAGATAATCTTTTTAAAGCCTAATACTATCTAATAATCTTAATTTGCCTAAGAACATGTAATTATAGAATAATTTTATAACTTTATTACTTAATAAAAGATGCAAATTAACAGAAATATAAAAGCAATATAAGGAATAATATTATTCAAAAATTTTGAAAATTCCATATTAAAATCAAAACCATACTTGAAAAAAGTTAAATTTTTAATAAATATCATATTTTAGAAACTTTAAAAAAAAATAAACTATTAAAATTGAAAATAATTCATTTGTTCATAATAAAATATAATGTCACAATAAATCAGGATTTTGAGGATATTAATTTGATTATTATTATGTAGAATTTAATATTTATTATTGCTATTTCATGTATTATATAGCATACTATTATTATCTATCTTCATCCTTATTTTTTACATATTCTGAAGTTTTTTAAAACTATTATATTGGTTGTTACATTTATTAGATAGATTATTTCTATTATTATTAACTCTATTATTAAATATGTAATGAATCTTTCAAAAGATTTTGATATTCATTAGATTATTAAGGTTGTTGTTGCCGCTAAAATTATATGTTTGGAGTATGTTATTTTGAAACATTAAAGTTTGGTAAAGGATGATTAAAATTCTACATTTTTGACAAACAGTATTATGATTTAACAAAGTTCAACTTTTCTTTATCTATTTTTTTTATTTCAACAACATAATAACTAGACACAGGCCGATGATCACTATCTAAACATTCATTTCTTTTATAATAACGTTATTAACAAATTAATCCCTCTTTACAATTAACTAAAATTCTATCGCACCATGAAGGTGTTCTTTATTTTTTAGATGTATCATAAATTTGACTATTTTTATCATATTTATAAGTTGGCAAAAAATTGATACTACCTTCCCAATAATTTTATAGGTATTGATTTCTTTTTTTTTTATTTCCAAGTTGTTCTTAATTTAATAAATATGCTAACTTTGCTTTTGCATTAGGACAATTTGGATCTTTGGAAATTAATTATAGATAATTCTTAATTTATTCAACCACTTCTTAGTATGGTAATTCAATTCTAAAATTCATATCACCAAATAAAAATGAATAATCGAGATTGCTTAAATTTATTTTGAATTTAGAATTTTAAAAAGCTCTTTGATGAATCTCATCAATATCAGATAATCTTTATTAACATTATTTGTTACCAGATGTAAGATGACAACAAGTAAATCCTAACTAAAATAATTGATAAATAAAATAATTACTAGAGAATCATCAAATTTAAATTAAACTGAAACTCCTCCTTTATTACCTATTGTACCACCTAAACCTGTTTTAACAACATCTGTATCAATCTAAGTCATTCTAGAAATTTATGATGTCTTCACAAAAATTGATATATATATACCAACTAAATCAGATTCTCCAATTTTAGTATAAGGTTCAATTTTAGATAAGTTTGATTGAAACAATTTATCCCATAATTAAATTGTTTTTTCATTACTCATAATTACAATATTTTATGGATTTAAATCAACAATTTCTTACAAACCAAAAACAATAATATCTGGATTAGATTATTCTTATAAATTTAATATATTTTAAGAAAAGTCAGTTGTAATAGGATTATTACCACCAACATTCCATGTTATTAATAAAATTGAAATTTGACTATTAGTGCAAAAGTGTTATTCTTACTATGCTATCCAATCATCGAAATGAGTTTAAGATGTAGAGCCATACAACAATTAATTAATTGTATTTTGTTTAGTATCATCTTCAAAGTGACGATTATAAAATCTCTCTATATTATTGTATCCATCTTTGAGTACTCCAATTAGACCCCTTTTTCCTTCTCTTGCCATATCTGATACTGTACTTCCTGATCCTGAATAAATGATACTCAACATATCTCCATTATTAGCCCACATATTCTTATATTTAATAATAAGATCATGTAATAATTTTTTATTACTTTCATCAAAAGAATTAAGAATATCAGAATTATTAGATAATTAAAGATTTAAAATTCTTAAAAATCGATCAAAACTATAAAGACATAGTTTGCTCATAAATAAATTAGTTCTATCCAAACAATCCAAGCAGTTAATTCTAAATACTCCATTCTATTTATTTATAATTTATTTATCTTTTTCAATATGACATTAGAATTTATCCAAAGTCTACTCATATTAATAAATATAGGGATTAACACCAGAAGACTTACCATTTTTAACTAAAGAATGAAAATCAAGGTATTAATAATAAACATGATCTAATTAAGCCTTCTAAAATTAATAGTAGAAATTATCTGTTAATACTTATTCTAATTATCTGCTGTTTTACATTAAATTAATGCAAAATATTTTACCATATCTTCTTAAAAGATTAAAATGTTTTATAAATGCAGATAAAGTTAATTCTTTTGACCTTGTTAATTTGATACTATTAACACCATCTTAATTCCAAAATATTGGTACTGATCCTCTTATGACAACAAAACTTATTAATATTGAACCTGATATAACTATTTGCTCTGTTTCCACAAAATTAGCAACATGTCCATCATCATTTATTCCTCTTGAATAATAACGAGTTCCTCCCATAAATCTGCTTCTTCTAGAAATCAAAACTAATGTAATAGGTTGTTTATCAATGTATGAATCTATTTATTCAACATAACCTTAAATCATAGGAAGTTGCCAACTAGAAGAAATCTTATTTTCTCTAAAAGAGCTAAGTAGTTTATTATTCCAAACAAAACTATTCTCATATTTCTAAAAATTTCTTGCAAGAGTTATATCTCCATTGAGTGAAAAGTAAAAAGCTGATTACAATAGTTTCTTTTAATTACTTATACTTTCCAAAATATCTTTATTGTTATTAGGATTATTGTCCTCTAATTAAATGTGTGTTTTACATCGATAGAAATGTAGGATACTTAATCAATATGATAAATAATTTAATCCTGGATTATCGCAACTTTTGTACATTCTTCAACAATCACTATGAATGACTTATTATAAGTCTTAAACACTCCCAATATATAGGAGCATCTTTAATCTCCTTTCATTTTGCCTTCCTACTCTTAAATTTTAGTTGATTCTTCAATAATTGATGAAATTCGATGAAATTTTAGCTAAGTGGTTATATTTGGTAAATCTGATTTAATCTAATGATAGTGAAATATTTTTCATACGATAATTGCATTCTAATTGGCATTAATTTAAAATAACTTCAAATTAGTCATTTAATATATAGTATATATGTTATAATAATAATCAATAAAGTTTTTTAGAAAATTAGTATCTGTGTTTTGTAGTCTTCAATAATTCAATCAAATAATTATGATTATTATTATCATTTGATAATTAAGAATCCAAAGATGTTTCATTGCTTTCGAACTCAAATATTTACTTAAGTTACCTTTTCTTCAGTTAATGATGAGATGGTTTCATGAGTGTGATCATGAATATTATTAGTCTATTCTTAGAATTTATAGAAATGATAAAGTTATTATTATTTTCCCAATTTTTCATGAACAATGATTAATTGTATATTTTCACATTATTTATTTAGTGTATTATTTTCTCTTTTCAATTCATGGATTTCTTTTTTTAATATAAAATGGTCTTCATAACTTTAATTCAATTCATTCAGTATTATTTGTCTGTCCTCTTCCCATCTTCTTTAGCAATTCTTAAAAATATTAGTATTATGAAAAAGGAAAAGAAAGAATACTTAAATAGGTTTAGAAGGATATTATATTTATTTAGTTAAAAATTCTATACATGGCATTTATTGAAATATTATTTGAAAAGTGAAATTTTCTATTAGGATTAATAGTCTTCCTTAATATTATTCTGTGAATTGCTCTAATGTTTGAGAAATCAATATTAATTATTTTATTGATTATCAAACTACAAATTCTTATTTAATGTTTTTGAAATAGTAGATTCCTTCGATTTTTATTTTCCTAATTCTTAATATTAGAAAAAATTACTTGCATAATTGATTCCTGAAGATTTAGGAGTTGTTTAATTCATATTTTAAATTTTTAATTGTTAATTCAATTATAAATAATTTTTTGAACCAAATTTGATTCAAAAAATTACAAAAATGAAAACTCCATTTGGACTCTAATAATATTTTGCTACTAAATAAGCTTAACATCATCAACTACTGGATGAAGAATCTGAACATTCACATAAGATGTTAATCAAGGAAATTGAAATTGATGCAAATATGTGTAAGAAATAAGCTTCTCTTATACTTGATAATACTCCTGTCTATTTTCCTCATTAGCCTTATGATGTATAAAAAAGCTATATGGAAAGTGTGATAAGAGCCTTAAATAAGAAATAAAATGCATTGTATAATATTAAAATCAATTAAGATTAGATTAGAATCACCAACAGGAACAGGTAAAACTTTGTCTTTACTTTGTGCTTCTTTAGCATGGTTAAAAAAGAATAGAAAAGATCAATTAAATTCTGATTAACCTAAGAATATTAAAATTATCTATTCTTCAAGAACACATGCTCAATTAAAACAAGTGGCTATGGAATTAAAGAAGACTGTCTATAAACCTAATGTTTCTATGCTAGGATCAAGAGATTAATATTGTATAAGAGGGGATTTTAGTACAATAAAAGGGACTTTATTAAATTAAAGTTGCCGAAAATCAGTCAAATCAAATTAATGTCAATTTTATAAAAAAGATCATCTCATACTTATGGCTTAAAATTATAGTACATTAATAAGTAGTTTGGAAGAAGCAAAATAATTTGGTTATAAAAATAAATTATGTCCTTATTATTTTGAGAGATAAAGATTGGATTTTGCAGATCTTATTTTACTTCCATATAATTATCTATTAGAGAAAGATTTTTAAGATGTAGTTGAAATTGAAAATTCCATTTTAATATTTGATGAAGCCCATAATGTTTAATCTACAGCTGAAGATGGTTCTTCATTTCTTATAACTCATAATAATATTATAGAAGCTGAAAAAGATCTTGAAAAATGGATTGATGAATTAGAATCAATCTCGATCTTTTATGATTAATTGAAAGCTAAATTGAATTCAGCCAAAGTATCTTCTGAATTAAAAGAATTTAGATCAATCATGATAACAATTAGAGTATTTGCATAATATTTGGAATCATTTAAAAATAATCAATTATAATTTATTAATTCTGATAAAGAAGAGAAATATTTGATTTTAGATGCTCGTTAAATATAATCTATGATTTTTGAGAACACTTAAGATAAAGAAAACACCTTTAGATTATGGACTGAGAATTCTTAAACTAATTATGCAAAAGGAGTTAATAAAAATAATTTTGCAAAATATCTAATTCATTGTTCTATTTTAATCGAAATTATGGGTGAATTATCTCAAATTCCTGGTTATCATTTTGAATCATGGGTTAAATTTATGAAAAATGTATATGATCTAATTAAAGTTGAAGATGAAAGAGAAAAACAAAAATTATCATTAAACTCTTTATAAAACGAGTTTAATTAATACAAATTATCTTTCATTCTTGACTAATCTAATTAATTATCCATTAATATGTGGTGTCTTGAACCCTCACTTGCCTTTTCTAGGTTATTCAATAAAAGTATATACTCAGTCTTATTAACCTCTGGTACACTATCCCCTATGCCATCATGGGCTTGTGAATTACGAATACCATTTGATGTTTAATTAGTTAATGAACATATAATTGATTTGAATAAAAATCTTAGAGTTTTTTAGCATAAAGCTTTTGATTTTTCATTTAATTAAAGAAATAATGAAGAGTAAATTAGTAAATTTGGTGTTACTCTATTAAGTTTATGTTAGATAATTCCAAATGGAATTCTAGTTATTTTTTCATCATATAGTCTCATGAATAAATTTAGAAGCAAATGGACATACAATAAATTATTAACTAGGTTATGTGAAATCAAAGCATGCTTATGGGAACCATAATAAAGTGCAGAAATGTAGAATATATTTGATACATATAAATAAAAGGCTAAAAAAGGTGCTATCATGTTTGCAGTCCATAGAGGAAAGGTTGCTGAAGGAATTGATTTTTCTGATGAATTATGTAGAGCTATATTTTTAGTTGGTGTTCCCTATCCTCCCAAATAAGATAATCATCTATTAGAAAAAATGGGCTACTTAGATAAAATCTTTAATGATCCAGAATTTACTAATTAATAAAGAATAAGAAGTTCTGAATGGTATACACAATAAGCTATACGTGCTACTAATTAAGCAATGGGAAGAGTTATTCGACATATAAATGATTATGGGTATAAATATTTTAATATTATTTTTAAGTATTGTTTATCTATGTGATAAAAGATTTGAATATAAAGACATAAAATAAGGATTATCAAAATGGGCATAACCAGCCATATAGCCTTGGATCAATGATGATGAAATAATTAAGCATACAAAGGAATTTTATAACAGAACAATTTCTATTAAAGAATAATGTATAAAAGAGCAAATTGAATAAAAACCTATTTAAGAATAAGATTGTAAAAAAAGAAAACTTTAATTTTTTGGTTTACAAAATAAAAATGATTTTGAAAAATTAAAAGATGAAACTTAAGATAGAATGAAAAATTTAAATGAACAATCAAAATAAAATGAATATATCAATCTTCAAAGTTATTAAATGAATCATCATCTACAAGAATAATAATTTAAAAATTCTAATAAAAATTAACAAAAAGATTTAGAAATTTTGAATAGTTAGAATATTAATTTTTCTAATTTAGATCGCAATAGTATATAATAAACATAATTAAAAATGGATATTGATGATGATTAAATTTCAAGAATTGAATCAAAAAAGAAAAAGTTATGTATAAGATTAAAAAATTAAAAATGAAATTGTATCTTATTATTTATTTTTTTTGATTTAATATTATTATACTCTTTTTATTTATCTCAATCCTCTGCATCTTCTCCAGCTTTTGGGAAATCATTCTCATGAGTTTCCTATAATTCAGGATCTTCCAATGGTGCTTCCATTACTATTTCTTTAGCATATTCCTTTCCATTCTCAACCGCCAAAGTAGGAAAGTTAAGTAAGTCTTTATTTTTCTTTTATACCTTCCAAGAATCTCTTAAATAAACTATTGAACCAGGTTTTCCTGGAACTGAACCTTTTATATATATTAATTATCTAACTGCATCAATTCTGTAAATCTTATTATAATAATATTCAAAATTACTTAAATCCCTTCACATGTTACTTTGTCACTTCCTAAATGACCAGGCATCTTTTTACCCTTAAAGACTCTACCTGGATCTTATCTTTAACCAGTACTTCCCAATTGTCTATGACATAGTGAATTACCATGAGTAGCAGGTTATGTTTTAAAATTATGTCTTTTAACAGTACCTCCAAATCCTAACAAAATAAATCAAAACTTCATTTTTACCTTTTCCTGTTGAAATACCTTAAATATCAATGAATTAGCCTGGAGTAAAATGTCTTGCAGTCAACATATAGCCAACTGGCAATACATTTTCAGGTGTGATAGGGAATTCCTTTATATATTTTTTTGGAGGTATCTATTATAAAATTTGAGGTATACATTTGCTTTAAGGAAATGACCTATTTAAGGTTTCTTTAGGGTTTTAATATTGACTGCTCCTGCCCCAATCTACAAACCAGTATAAGTGTCATTTTTAACTACTTAAACAACTTAATTATTATCTAATTGTAAGACGGTTAATGCATGTCGATAACCCCATTTATCCCATTAAGCAGTCATACCAACTTTAACAGCAATCAAGCCTGCTCTTTTTGGTTAAGCAAAGGGATCATCATATGTATGCTATTTAATTTCAAATTTTTAATTGCATTCTTCTGTAATATCAATAGGAGGTTAAACAAACTTTTTATAATGTTTTCTTCTTCCTTCAGGTTATTCATTTAAAGAAAGATAGATTGTTTTAGGTATTTTTTTTGTTTAAGGAATATGTGTTTCATAAAATGAACTCCATGTATGCATTTTTGGTTATAATGCTCTTAATTTTTCTAATTCAATTTTTTTCTTGAGATTTTCTTATTATTGCTTTTATTCTTGTTCTTGATCTGATTTGGCAATTTTTCCTGATTTATCATCACTTATTGCTTTAGCTCTTGTCTTCTCTCTATGAGGTTAAGCCTTAGGTCTAGTGTGTTTTGTGAAATAGTATAGTGATGCCCAATTTAATTGATGGGTTGTGGTTATAAATCTAAGCAACATATTAAAATTTATTTATTTAAAAAAATGTGTATGTATTATATACAAATCAAAGAGATGAATATTTATTAAATGTTATTTATTAAAATTAAGGAATAATTAAATTAATATACTTTCTATAATCTATACTCTTTAGTTAATCTAAAGATATATTTAATAAAATTTCTTAAAAAATGATTAATATCTAAATATTTATCTAAATCATTATTCTTTTGATTGTTTACTTTAAGAATGATAAAATATTGTAGACTACACTTTTTCTAAGTAATTTAAGTTTTTTGGCTCCAATATTATTGATATTTAATATAATTCAATTTTTAGTGAAAAAATGAACTATTTCAGTTCAAATATAACTAAAGGCTGAGGTTGATATAAGATAAATTAAAATGAAAAACAATTCTGTCAAATTTAAGTAAAACGTTCCAAAGTCTTCCACAACCTCTATCATTTCAGAATTCTCTTATGATGAATCTCCTACACCAAATGGATTTCAATTTTAAAGCTTTACTCATGCTTAAACTATTTCAGCAAAACTCAACAAAAATTCAGTCTATAATCAATAGAATATTATGTTTAACACACCCAGAAGATTGGCAGTTCCTTTTCAAGAAATTGTAAGAAATTAAAATAATTCAATTAGGAAAAAGATGAAGTACTTTCCAAAACACCAGTAAATAAGTAACTCTTTGAGGGAACTAAATAATTCAATAGTGGATAAATAGAACCAGTTTCTTTTTCAGAAGCATTGATAAAATAATCAAAATATACAGAGGAGAGTTTGAAGAAAATTTAGAAATTAGAAAAATTCTTAGAGAAAACAAAATAAAAATATTATAAGCCTATTAATATTTTATCTTCTGATGAATCACCGTCTAAACCTATTGCTCCTAGTTAAATTTCAGGTTTGGCATCTAAATATGAGGGATCTGAATAGAAATTGGATTCTAAAGTAAATAAGAAATTTAATTAATTGATGGATGAGTTGAGAATAATTCGAAAGGTATTTTAATATTAAGATTATAGAATATACAATATTTTACAGCATTTGATGGAGCTTATGCTTAAAGCTAAAAAACTTAGAATAATTTTATATCTTTAAAATAATAAAATGGAATAATAGTTAATAATGGAAATCATATGACAAGATTAGAATTGATAAATGATACTTTTAAAAGTGAGAAAATATGTGATATTAATGAGAATGATTCAAAATTTATATCATTTTGTATAAGTGACAAAAATATCTCAAATGATATGTTGATAACTGGTTCAGATAGAGGTAATATTATGGGTTGGAATTTATTTAAAAATCAAGCTTATCATTATTATGGTTTAAACAATTAATACAATTGCAATTTATAAAAACATTCATTACCAACATTCATTACATAATCATTTAAGAATATATATGTAGGAACAAAAAATAATGTAAATAATTTAGTTTATTAATTTAAGGAATTATTGATTCTAGATGAAAGAATGAATGAAAGATAATGTTTATCATTAACAATTCAAAATTCTTATGAAAATTTAATACAAGCAAATTCAATACTATCACCACTTTTACCTAGATTTGGATCTTCAATTGTTGAAAGTCCTGAAATAAATCCAATTGATCCAAATTTATTAAATGAAACAAATTTCAGATTAGATGAAGAATATGATTCAATTAAGGATGATTTAATTGAAGAATTTCCATCTTTTGAATAATTGAAAGATTTAAATAGATAAGAATCCTAGCAAATTAAATATATTGATGTTAATGATTATAATGTTCTAGTGACTATGACAGATGGTTTTATTCATTTAGATATGAGGAATCCAACTGTTGCTTAATTTAGCTTTTAATAAAATTATTAGTAGGCTTTAAAGGCTATGTTTTGTCCTGGAAATTCAAACAATATCATTTATGCTAAGTAGAATTCGAATAAATGTTTACTATGGAATTTATAAAAGAATGAAGTACTATTTCATAAGGAATTATAAAATAATCCTTTGGATATGATTGCTTCTCAAGAAACAAAAGAGATTCTATTTTTACATTAAGAATAAAATGATTCCATAATTAAAGTGTATAATAATGTCACTTCAAAGTTGAAATATTGTGATGAAATAATAATTCCTAATTTCCATATTTAAAAAATACTTTTGGATTATTAATGTGATACATTGTATGGTATTGGACCTTATTCTTTGAGAACATGGAATTACTTTTAATAAAAGGAAATAGATTTGATACATGAAGAGATGCAAAATTAATTAGAATCACTTATATGATATTATGATTTGTTAATATTATTAAATTAATACATACATATATATATATATTATCTTAATAAGAGATTTTAATGTTGTAAATTAAAAATAACGAAATAAATTATTATTATAAATAAAATTTATAGTAAGGATGCTATAAATTAATGTTGAGGTGCAAACTGTTTATTTTTATATAGATTCACCTATTATGTATTGCCATATGCAACTAAATGATTGTAATATGTTTGATTGAATGTAGCTGTTACTGCAGTCATGTTAAATAGTTAACTTAAATGTAGATGCTATGAACAATAAGACATATATGAAAAGGCTGAAATTAGAACGGCTTATGATCCAAAGAACAAAAAAAAAGTATTTCTCAACTTATTATGTAAGCTTAAATTGATTTTCTTTGAAAATTAAAGTAAATTTGGAGAGGCTGTCTTTGATCTGGACTTTTATATTGAGAACAAATTTTAATAATTATCAGATAAATTATCCATTCAAAGTGAACAAAATGAAGAAGCTTAATTAACATTTATGTTTGAATGGTAATTTATAGAAAAGCCTACAGAAATCAATCCTAAAATCGTTAATCCTTATCTTTCAGGCAATAGTCCTTAAAATACATAAAGAAATGTTGGATAAAGTCCAAAAAGATTAGTTTAATAAAAAAAAATTGGAGAAGAAAATGAAAAGAGAACTACTCATGTAACGTATTCTTAGTGGAAAGATCATAAAGAATATTTAAAAAATTAATTGGAACGAAAACTAAAAGAACCTAAGCATCCTTAAAAAGTAGTAATTGTTGATGATTAAAATTATAATTGGTCAGATACATTAAGAAAACCAGATGCTTAAGTGAGAGTTGTTTCACCTCCAAAACGATTTGGTACACCTACTAAAGCAAATAAAAAATTTCAAAGTCCTACAAATACTTTTAATTCTTAAAGATAATAAGATTATGAATTAAGAATGATAAATGAAAAATTAAGTAAAGTAGACAAATAATTATAATAAATGAATAATGAAAATAAAGAAGAAGAAAAAAAAAAATATTCATCAAAATTAAATTAAAAATTAAAATAACGTTAATTTGATGATTATAGAAATGGTTCAAATGAAGAATAAACTAATAGTCAATCTGAAAAAGGAATTAAATAAAAATCACTTCATTATTAATCATTTGTAGAATAAAAAGATTCTAAAGATTATTAATTTATGTACAATAGTCAAATTTAGCCTCCAACTCAATAATATTAAACTTCTGATTAATTGACTAAATCTCTACATGATCCTTAAATTTCCAAACAAGTTAATACTATCAATTTGGATATTCCAAAGAGTCCACCAAAATCTAAAGAACTACAATAATAATTATCCTAAAGAAGTAAAACATAACAATAAGAAGACTTTTAAAATAGTAATTAATTCAATAATTATGATAAATATGATGAATTAATGAGAAAATATTTAGATTTAAAAGATAAATATTAAAATTCATGTCTTGAATTTTCACTATTATCATAAACTTATTCTTAATTAAAAGATGAGTATTCATAAGTAGTTTAATAAAATTAGTAATATTAATAATAAATATCCTTTTTGTAATAATAATAATTAATTAATGGAAATAATGAATAGATTACTTAATCTGCATATAATATGGAAATAATTAAAAAAGAACTTGAGTTTCTGTAGAGAGATAATAATATGCTTAAATCTCATTTAGAATAAAGTCAATATAATGTAAATTAATTGCAAAAGGAGAAAGAAAAGAATTATATAGAAATAAATAATCTAAAAAATAATTTACTTTTGATTAATTAAGAAATAGATAAATTATAGGTTGATGCATTATAAATGAAAACAGAATTTAAACAAAATAATAATAATTAATAGGCATCTGAAAGTTATGCTTAATTAAATATTAAATCAGATGCTCAACCAATAAATTAATAGAAATCATTATAAGAAAATCCCTAATTTGATGCTATTCATTAAAAAGAAGAATTAGAATTATTAAAAATCTAATATTAATAAATAGAAAAAGAAAATTTAAATTAAAAAAAATAAATAGGCAATTTTAATTAAATTATCTAATCTTTAGAAGATGAAATTACAAAATTGAAAGATTAACTTGAAGAAAAGAAATAAGATATTATTAGAACTTAAGCTTTGAATAATAAAGATAATATTGGAGATATAATTGATGGTTATAAATAAGTAATTAAAAAAAAAGAATAAGAAATCTTGGATTAAGAAGAAAGTATAAAAGATTTGAAGAAATAAATATAAATTTAAGAAAAAGAATTATAATAAATATCTGAATTAAAACAAGATTTAGAACAAAAATTAAATAAAAAAGTGAATGAACTTTAAGAGGAAATTGAGAAACTATAAAATGACAATTAATATTTAAAACAAATTTTATCTCAAACACAAAATGAATAACAATCATCATTTTAGTAAGTTTTATATTTATTATATTAGATAATCTAATAAAAATTCTATGTATTAGTAAGAAACTAATTTCAAAGGGTTTAGTTTTAGAGGAGATGATGTGGATAACCAAAGTGAAAATTTGAAATAAGAAAATGCTTCATTAAGTATTGTTTTTAATGATTCACTTAGAATTTGAGTAGAATAAGGATAAAGTAAGAATCGATAGTTTAACAAAGGAATTAGAAATTTAAAAAGTAATATAAATTCATTATATTAAGAACATAGCAGAATTAAGTGAATAATAATTGATGGAAGCTTAAGAACAAATCATGTCTTAAAAATAAAGAATAGCTGATATTTTAAATTTAATAATGATTAGAGGTGATGCTAAACAAATGGATGATGTAGAGAAATTACTCTAAAATAAAGAATTTTTATCTCTTTGAAGATGTTGTTAATATTATATATATATATATTTCAATTTAATCATGATAATTTATTTATTTTTTTGTAATATGATTTCATTATTAAGATGGATTAATACATAAAAAATATTCATTTATATGAATTCAAATTGTAAATAACTATTTATTAATATATTCAACACAATGTTAAAGATTTGTAAACTGTTTCATAAGCTTTTTATTACTTTTAGGATCTTGATGGAGAAGATAAAACTAATGATAACTATTCAGCTGCATCTCTATGGTGCTTTTCTTCTATCATTACTTAAGTTTATTTAAGTTAAACTAAAACTTGCTTTTTACATAGTTTCTAATTGTAATACCTTATCATTTTTGAAATCATCATTTTTCATTAATTTATCAGTCAATTAATTAAGAAATTTAACAACATTTTCATCATCACCATTTTCTTTGTTTTCTTACATTTATTTCAATTATACAGGGGCTAATCTAGCATGTTTCTTTTCATTAGTTCCATGAGCATATGGACAATTTACTCCATTCTTGCAAAATCCTTATTAATCATATTTGCATAACACAGCTTTAATATAATTATTTATTAATACTCTTATAATTTGTAATAACTATATTCGAATCAATTGTTGGTATCTTACCTAATATTGGATCTAGAGTATAATCTTGATAATACCATTAGGGTTTCTCAATTCTTTTAAACCATGTGCAAATTGACATTTATCTCCAATTGAACAGTTACCTAATTCAAAGTGTCTGCAAATTGAAGTTTTATAAAGTCTGCCATTTCCATGTTAAGGAATAGTAATCACAGCGTTATGCATTTTTTAACGATTATAATTATTAAATATATTTACTTATAACACCACAAATTGTGAAAAAATATACCTTAAATAAAATTATCAAATCTTATTTGAATTTCTATTTATTTTTCCTATTCCAAAATAATCATTTATACAATATTTTTATAGCTTTCATTTTTTAAACAACCCCTTAAATTTTACTATTAAAATATTATATAATAAGATATATTATTCTATAAGTCCCAAAAATAAATTTATTCTTGTAATATCTATTTATGAGAACTATATGATACAATAATTTGATCATAAAATTGATATATTTGTAATATATATTTCTTATTTTAAATGTATAATATATCATTTTGATGAAATTTCTAACATTCTATTGACATCTGCAAACCACCAATCTAAGAATTTATGTTTATCAATATTTCCACTTGTATCAGCCAAATATTCTTAAGCCCTACCTTCCATAATATCTGTAAATTTAAATTAAAATGCTAAGTCTTCACTACAAACCCATAAATTAAGTTCGAATTTATCACATAATTCAGGTAATTTATAAACAGAAATTTACTAAAAGAATATTAAATATATTTACTCCTCCAGATCCTAAAGTCTTACATAAAAGATCATATTTCAAACTAGCTGTTTCAGGTGTCAGACTATGACTTTATTCAAGCATTTTTTTCCAATTTTCTGATACCTTCTTTTTAAAATAGATTTATGCTTTTGGATCTGGCCATTAATATTTATTTGGTTTATAGTCAACAACTAAAGGTCCTGAGTGTTTTGTTAATAGACATCCTGGTTCATTCCAAGATTTACGACAACAAGTCCAACTATTTAAAATAAAAATCTTATTTACTGAGGTTTCCATAATATCTTTGATCCTTTTTCTTATTTATATTCTTCAATAGCCTCTTATATTTTAGTAGCAGTATGTCCAAAATCAAATACTCCTGGATGAGATCTACACATATTCTTTTTTCTATTTTCAATCTCTCTATATTGTTTTCCACATGACCAATTTGTACATGTTCTTAATTCTTTCTCTGTTTCAATTAGTTTCATTAATTTCTATCTATCCTTATTAATAAATTCATTATAAGGTATAGTTGGTCTATATACATCTGGTCTAACTTGAATGTTTTTATTTGGTTATGCATCCTTTTCTTTTTAAGCAGGATTCTAATAATTAAATATAATAAATACAATATGTAATTTTTAAACAAAATAAATTTTAGCAGCAGGATCAGGCCATTTAGCAGCTTGATGAGTTCCTGAATTATATTTACATTCTGAAGAGTCACCATCTTAGAATCTCATTCCACAAGTACCTTCAGGATAACCAGTTCTTGGATCTTTGGGACCTACATTGATACAAATATTATAATAATCTTTTTCAGGAACACCTTTGTGATACTCTAATTTACAGCCTTCAGCTTCCCATTTTTTACCACAACATGTCCAACATTCTGGCCATAATCCATGTTTAGATCCAAATTCATATCTTCCAGGATGATGTTTACATGTTTTAATTCCATTAGGAGTTGAATCATATTTAAATGGTTATCCACAACCCCAATTTTTACAAATGAAATCCATACCCGCTAATTAAGCTTCTCCTTTTTCTGATTTCTCTTATTTATCAGGTACATTGCATGGATGATCATGAGATATCTTAGATCTTTAAGAATAATTGTTAGTTTTTAAGAATTATTCTTATTTATTTGCCATATAATTTGTATCTCCATAGGCTTAAGCCAATAATACTATATCATCATATACTTTTAACATTCTCTTCAAGAAGCAATCCAAGAACTTATTTAATTTTTCATTTTTTCTAAACAAATACACTCTACCTTCTTTATCCATTTAACCTTATTAACCTACTCCTCTAATATAAACATCAAAATGCTCCAATTATTAAGTTTTATCCCAATTTCCTATTACTTCTATATTTGGGAATAAATCTTTTAATATTTATCCAATTTCATTAAATTTAAGGGCAAAATCAGCTTCATTATGCCATGTAGTAGTCTTATGTTTTTCACAATCAGAACATCTATTTATGATAAGTTAAAATTTCCCTTAATTCCAATTTTCTGGTAATAATGGCAATGTTTCTGGCTATTTTCTTTTTAGTTCTTCTACTTCTGGATTTTTTTTTAAATATTCTGCTGCTAACATGATTATTTGAGAATGCTCATCTTTCTTTACTATTTTACCTCTAAATCCTGCCAATCTTAATTATTCAAAAGCATAAGTCTCTAATTAACCAGTTGCATCTTATCCTTCTCTATATGAAAATGTTTTATCAATTCTAAAAGTCTCTTCAGCTTCATGTGTTTTAAATGATATCATAGCCATATTTTCACCATTATAATGAACTCTGAAGTACTTAGGTTAAGATTCTTCAGAAATATCTAATTTTTATTGAAAAATTTTATCTTGATCATAAGAAAAAAAATCAATTCCTTCTATTTCTACTTCCTATCCTAATTCTTTATGAACATAAACAGCTGTTAATTTTTACACAAATTCATCATTGTTTACAAAATAAGCCAAAAGATATTTAATATTGTATTTGAATGCTTCATTTTCTGATCCTACTAATGTTCTAAGTTATTCAAAAAAACTGAAACTATATTCTAAATGTTGGTTTTTAAATCTTTATATCCCATCTGCATAAATAATTAAATCTTAATCTGCTTCTTTTTCATCTGTATTATATTAACTCTTTACTTCTTCTATTTCTTCTTAAGTCAAAGCAGCCTATCTAATAGATAATAGTAATCGATCATAAATTAAATAATAACCAAATTTTTTATTTTCCCTTAAAGAATCAGTAATTTCTGCCAATTAATAAATATCATCATTTGATAATTAAATTCCACTATGTTATACAACTTTACAAAACCTATCAAATTCAATAGCATAATAAGGATATGTTTCAAATCTAATATAATTTATATTTATATTAATTACCTCTCTCTAAATAATTCTTAATGAATATAATCAAATGGAAGTTTTGGACTTGCATTTTCTTCTAATGGTGGTGCTAATTATTATACAGTAGTAAAAACCCAATAGAAGATTAAACTTAATTCATGACATTTATGATATAATATTTCATTTTATTAAAAAAGTTAGTATAATCTATCTTAAAAATTAATATAAAATGATATACTTGCAAAATCTTAAATTGTTTTTTAATTTGGTTATTCCTGTTATTGAATTTTCTTTTTATCAATTTCTTCAAATACATGATAACTCTTTTAGAGATGTGGGGGTATCTATAATTTCTTATTACTTGTCTTTGTAAGAGTTTTGGATTGCTATTTCAATAAACTTTAAGTTTAAGTTTGATTATATTTGGATTCATCTTAATCAATAGGAATTTCTTCTTTAAATTGTTACAATATTTCTTCAACAATTTCCATAGTTCTTCTTTAAAATTTATGGGATAATGCACTTTAAAGTTCAGCATAAATTGATTTTATATGCTTTTAATGTAAGGATTAAGCTATAAAAACTATATCTTATAGAGTTCCTTTGAATAATTTTAGAGCTTATTCAGATCCTACCCAAAAATATCCTCTTGGAGGTTCTAACTATTAAGATAAATTAATTTGATTTTCAATAGCTCCATTAATATACATAGAAACTTCTCTAAATAGATTAATAGAATTATTAATTTTACTTGTATGTTTCTGTTTCAGAATAAACAAGAGCTACTTAATATTTCATATTTCTTTTGATTTTCATTTGAGAATAGAGAGTTTCCATTTTCCCTGTCATTAGTTGAAAATTAAAAAAGAAAAGTTGATCTCTGTTTATACCGAATGTCATATTTTTAGACATTAAAGAACTACCAGTTGACAATACATTTAGATCATCCTCTAAAATTAAATAATGAATTTAAATACTTATTTCTTTAGGAAAAGGTGAAATAATAATTTAAAACAGTATAGAAAATGAATGCACTTTCAAAGGTTAAATTTCAAGTTCATCAAAACTTATTTTGACTTGATCAGTTGATTATTTGAACTCTTTGGCATCAAGCATGACTTAAAATTATAAATCCATTGGTTCTTCATATACATCTTAAATATAATTTTCATCTATTATTTAATTATTGTCGAATTCCTCTTCTCCTGAGGTATTTCTTTATGGATATCCCTACATTCCATCATCTTCTTCTTAACCCAAAGGAATATAAAATATTCCTCCTTGAATTGATTCCTAGGCACTTATTGGTATTTTGAAGATATATTGATTCTAATTAGGACCATTAAATTAAAGTTATGTTTCCTATTCATTACATTTGATTAGAATCATATGACTACTTGATCCAAAATCAAATTCCAAAGATTTCAATGATTCATGTAGAGCTGAATAAAGGTCATATTATTCCTATTGAATTTTCTTTTCGATTTGTTGACATGTTTTAATGAACTTATCTTTAGAGAATGTTCCTTAGCTGACTTCCTCAAATTATGCCAAAATATATCGAGTTTTTTCAATTATTATATCAATTACTACAAAATATCAAGTTAAAAATTACATATTGAAGTGTTTGATTTGATTTAGTATTCCAATTCCATAGGACTATAAACCACATAAACAAACCTAATCAAAATACTTAATAATCATTTTACCATAGTTTTTCAAAATTTTTATTAAGTAGTTGTTATAAAAAGAGTGCTGGATTTTAGTGATTTAATTTATCTGAGTTCTCAAATAATAATTTTTTAATTTTCTCTTTCATCTCAGGAGTTACATTTGAATCGCAATATAAAAATTTCATTTTTATAAATAATATTTTTATTATTATCTCAGGTAATTTTAAATCTAAATATATAATTGAATTATTATTCAGTTTGTCATCGTCCCCTTAAAGAATTTTGAACACATCTTCTAGAATACAATTTTAAATAATGTTTCTAAATTTACCTATCCTTATTCTACTCTAACCAATTCTTTCTCTCTGATGCAGTCAAAATATTTTATGGACCTTCCTCAAACACTATTTCCAAAAGCTTTCCATAATCAGTAAACTATAATTATGACAATGCCAGAATACAATCCTAAATGTATTCTTCCACCTCTACATCTGCTGTCCCCTTTCTTAAAGCCTCAAATAATTTTGAAGTATATTAAGGTACAAATGGCATAAATATTTGCTAGAATTCTATAAATTATAGTTAATTAATATTACTATCTTTGTATTCTTAGGGTATTTGAGTTTTAAAAACATCATCCTAAGGTTTTAACATTTTGAATGCTACTTCCAACCAAGAATAGAAAGTTTTTGCTGCACTCACATGTTTCAATCCTATTGCCATTAAAGTTAGTTGTAGGATTGTTTATAAAGCAGGACTCTATAATAGTAAGACTGGAGTATATCTTCCATATCGAACTAATATTCCAAAGAGATCTTCTGTTAAATCAGGATTTTCTTCAAAACTTGATAATTATGGTAAATGTTAAAAAGTGATATTGCAAAGACTTTCAAATGCTTCTGATAGAATATTTCTATATTCAGGATATTTATAAAATACTGTTGCTGATACCTCAGCTATGTATATACATGCTGTAATTGGCATTTATCGATATACATTTAAAAAACATTAAAATACTTAAGTTAGTAATTCAACTGAAAATTAATTGAATGCCTTTCTAAAAGTATGTTTTGTATATCTAACTATTTTTTCAGCTATGGTTGATTCATACATTACTATTCTTTCCATTCCAAATTTTAACATTGGCCATAATTCCTTATAAACATTAACTATCAAGATTCTAATTTCTAAGAAATCCTCATTTTCATTAGCAGGTATCTAACTGTTTGCATATGCCAAACAAGAGATATTTTTACTAAATTATTCAATATTTTCTTCTAATGTATCAGTTTTTAAATTAGATAATATTTATTCTTCTAATTATTTTTATAATTAAAGGAGATTTTAAGCAAAAATAGAACATAATTTTAAATAATAATTTTGCATAGTTTCCTTACTAGAACAAATAGCATTTGCTACTCCTTTAATTAAATTATCATAATTTTAACTAAAATTATATGAATTAATCTTACACTTATTATAATTTTACAATTAAATCAAAAAATTAATTTAAATGCATTAATACAAAATTTTAATTCTATTTACATATTAATTAAAAAGCCTTAGTTGCTTTTTTTTATACTGATGGTACTTTATGATGTATTCCAATTGTAATAAAATTAAATAATAATGGTAATAATTCATTTGATGATATTAATTAAGCACAACCCTATGAGATTGTCTTAAATACTAAAAATAAAATAATTAAATATTATACCAGTTTTCAAAATGAAATTATTACTTGCTAAATTTTATTATTAATATACATCTAAATATAATTTAATAATCTCCATCAAATATTAAACTCCAATTTAATCATTTTTAAGTGTAATTTATTTTACAATACCACTTATTAAATACATACATGCTTCAAAAGTTATCCAACCTGAATCATCCATCTTTGTTATAAATTCTTATTTTAATATTAAACCTAAATGTTATAGAATTTAATTAGGTTAAATTATTGTAGCTAATTCTTCAATAATCTCTTTCATATCAGATCTTGTATCTAATAATTATTCAAATTCATCCTCAATTTTAGATGTAATACCATATTCAGATAATAATGTAATATTTACTTTACTATTCTTAACACATCCATTAATTAATTATTCAAAAGTTAAAGCAAATTTACTCTATAATTATATATCATTCATATTTCTAATAGTTTTAATCATTTTAATCCAAAAATCTGTCATCGTTTCACTTTCATTATAAGAATTTTCATGACAAAATATCCATATCATTGTTGTTAAGAATGCTTCTAATTAATTATTCAATAATATTTTGCATATAAATTTCTTTCCAAGTTTAGAATATAATCTTATTAAATTATGAATTTCATCACTCAAATCTTCATCAAGAGCCTTCTTACATAATGCAAATGTTTTATAAACTTCATCAAATATAACTTTAATTATTTATGGTTCTAATGAAGGTTAATCTGCTATGTTTCTTGGAATTATTCCAAAAAATGTACATATTACTTCAACTGCCTTACTCTATAATTCTTCAATTATTATAGAATCTAAAGCACCTTTAAATAAAGGAGTTTGAGTAGTTAATTGCATAAATTATATAGCCTTTAAAATTTACATATTAATATTATACTTCATCTTCATTTATATACTTTTTCATAAATTCTAACCATTTTTTATATGCACGTAACACATAAAATCTTATATTTTAATTATTTGCATTATTCCATCTCTATTATAGAAATTGTATAATGTCTAACATTTATTTATTTTTTATATCTTAAGCTATATATTTTCTTTTTTCATCATCAATTATTATCTTTTTATTACCAATTATTTCTTCTGGAAAGGTTTCCAAAATATCAAATAAAAAATTTTGATGTACACTATTATTTTAGCAATCAACTAATTGGGAAATCACTCTATTTTTATATTGATATTGTACTCCAAAATAGATTTAGTTTATTGATTATATGTGTACAAATATAAATAGATGAACATAAGTACACATTATATTCTAGTAGATTTTTAATTTTATACACTGTAATGGATAATGATTTATATGCAGTTTTAATAAATCTATTGTATCTCCTAAGGATTGAGTGATACTAGAATGTAAAATTAATCTAAATACTGAAGTCATATAGGATTTTGGATTGCAGAATTCTTAACACCTAAAATACCAATGAAGAATCTGGATTTGACTATAAAATTTGAATGCATATTCCCCAAGCCTCACTAGATTATGAGAAACTTCTCAAGAATGTATCAGCCTTCTCAACTTAACCATTATTGAATGCATGGATCGCCTAACACACATTCTCAATCGAAAATTCAGCCATTATTTAATTAATTAACTAATAAAATATATTATAAAGGATATGAGCATTTTCCTATTAAATAAGTAACCTATATACATTATTCAGTAAACAATAAATATTCAATAAAATCTTAAGACAAACAGAATTTAATGTAATCTATGAATGGATATAAAAATAGATTGTCAAAAAAATAAAATATACTTAATAAGTAAAAATAATAAGATTACATTTAAGAATATAGTTTCAAAATCATATGGATACAATAATTTGGAATTAATCATAGAAGAAAATAATGATGTATTTAAAATATTTATCACTTCAAAATTTTTGAATCTTTAATATACTTTTATATTTTAAAGTATATGAAATGAAATTTAATAAAGAACAAGATTATTAATATATAAATAACTTAAATATGAATGGTATAATTGAAAATACTCATAATGATAAGATTTTACTAAAAAATGAATAAGAATTAACATAATAATAATAATTTCAACATATTCTAATTATGAATGAGAATATTTATTATTGTCAATAAAATGGATTAAAACAAAACTAAAATTCATGAATTCAAGTCTTTATATATATTTATATAACTTTGCTTATTTATACTGTTCATGTTTGTAAATTATATTTATTAATGAATTAAAATTATGAGAAATATGATGAAAATTTCTAAATGATCCAAAAACTTGAAGAACGTAAGATTAAACAAATATTTTCTGATAATCTCACTTTGTCTACACCTACGTTTATGAGCTCATAACGTAAATAAACAGATATTCAATATATTCATAAAGAAAGAGCCATTTTAGATGTACGATTAACAAATGTCATTTAACTTGATCTTTGTCAATTCCATTATATTGAAGTACCATTATTTGGTCACAAAAAGCCTCTCGTTATTCGTATAATTATTGATTAATAGTAGATTTCTAATTCACTGATTAAGCTAAAATGAAATTTTACATCTCAAGCCATACTTTAACTCCAAATAGATTCAATAATGAAGAGTCATTTGAGAGAAAACAAATTCTTAGATATACAGAATAAGGTGAAAATCTATCCTTCACATAACGTTGTTTGTATCTGGCTATCTTTTCTTAATAAGCTACAACAATTTATGCGAAGGCTTCTTTTGGAATCAAACCATAATAATAATAAAAAAATGATATAGAATCAAAATTAAGACCTTCAACAGGTTATCAATTCACAAGATCATCATAATTTTTCTTTACAAGAAAACCATCTAAAGATATGATATCACTAAATAAGAATATTGAATAATATTAACCAGATAAAATTAGATTATAATAGAACTTAAGGAGAGTTCAATCTGCTCGTAAAATATCAGAGACTCTACATAAAAAGAAATAAATATTTGAAGAAAAGAAAGAAACTTTAAAAGAACGATTCGAATTTTAAGAAAAGAAAAAGATTTTAAAAGAAATTATACTTTATAGAAATAATATTGATAGTTTTATAAAATTTTAATAGAAATTATGGGTTTAGAATCTATATTTTATTTAAATGATATCAATTATTAAAAAGAAATATTATGTAAAAAAAAATGTTATTTATTTTTAGGATAATATTATATTTCAATTTAAATAGTCAATAAAAAAAAGGAGATAATATCGAGTTAGATAAGTGTTATAAAGAATGTTATAAAAGTCTGGTAAAGATATATATCAAAGAACTTTGTTTGAAGGTCTTTTGATATTAAGAATGTTGTCGAAAGTAAAAGAAAATGGAGCTAAAAAGAAATCAAAAAGAATTGTATTTACATTTATGTTGAGTTATGGATAAATTGGAGAGATATTTTAAAAAACATATCAATTTAAAAGAAGAATGAGAAAGATTATAGAAGTTTTTAGAAATTATAGAAAAAAAGTATAAGCTTATGCAAATAGAATCATTATGTTATGGAATAAATATTGGAATTAAATTTATATGGAAATAAAAAAGGAAGATTAAGAAAGTATATTTATAATGATTAATTAATAATTTTAGAAGTCAATGAGATTAAGGTTTAAATGTAAAAGACTATAATTAATTATCATATTGAAGAAGAAATAATAAAATCACCATATTTAGATATGTATATAGTTATATAACTTTGTTAGTAAGGTTTAAAGTGTAATTGTGAATAATTATTATAAGGAAATAAAAAATTTATTTATAAGGAAATGGAGGGTTTTGAAAATTAAAGTAAAATCATCTAAGTTTTAAACTTTGATGGCCTCTTAAGCATTTGATAAGAAGAATGAATTATTATTATTTACTATTGTAGATAAAAGTGTTTTAAAATAATTAATCTATAAGTATATGTAAGAAAAAGGAATGATATAAAGTTTATTATTAAAGAAAAATTGATTATATAATAAATTTATATATGTAATCTTTATAATAATCATTCTGTCTTGATTTTCTTCTTTTTTGGACAATTGTTCTTTTTAACAAAGGCTCTGAGAACACCAACTTTTTCATTCTTATGCTCATTAAAATTGAATCCATATTTTCTACCATATCTTATTTACAACAAATAGTCGTCTAAACTCTTTTTTGAAATATTCACTTTGTTAGCAGCTTCTTCAAGTGTAAATCTTTTACTCTCTCCATCAATCATAATTCCCTTGAGTACAGATGAATTTTTACACTATAGTATTCTCTCCATTTAGAAACCTTTTCTATAATGTATCCAATTCTTCTTTCTTTTGTTCTTCTACATTGCTTTTAAATCTCTTAACCTTATTATTGTTTATTTTATTGATCATTTCCATCCATCTCTTTCATCTTATTGACCTTCTCATTCATTTCTTCTGACATTACTAAATGTATAAGGGAAATAGAAGTTTAAAGACATTTGATTCGTAATTAATTACTTAATCTAATCTCTTCAAAAGGTATTATGTATGAACAATGAACAGGATCCATTCCACAATTAATGTACATTTCACAATCAAAACTATAATAGGATATTGTACGGCCTTCTAATTAAATTCCTAATTCTTTTAGTTTGTTTGTCAATTTGAAAATATTGATTCCATTTTATTGAATCATCTTACTCAAATCTAATTATGGAAAGTATTCAATATAAGCTTTTGAATTGTCTTTGAAATCAATCATTTCAACGTAGAGTTTAATCTATAAATATATTCATAAAAACTAATGAATTTACAAACATCTACTACATATTTATTTCACGACTACTTGTTGAATTTTCTTCACTGCTGTTATCAGACATATTCTATGATTATTTTTTTTTGTTAATTTATTATTAGAGCTATATATTATTGATATTTAGTGTTTATAAAATCCAAAAATGTAATAATTTAATTTAGAATTTATGTTCAAAAATTAGATTTAACATTATAAATTTAGTCAATGATCTGTATAGACATTTTCATTTTCTGTTTCATCTTTAGGTACATATAAATTGATTTCAGGTGGATCAATATCCATCAATTATTGTTCCTATTAATCTTATTTAAATTATTTCTTTATTATTGCTTGATTCTTTAAAAACCATCTCTTATAATTAGCTTATTACTCTTGCCATTCTTATATTGCTGGAAATAAATATGACAAAAGTTCTTTAGTAAATGATTTCTTAATATTCTCTTATTTACTTATTCTATGATAAATCTTTAATTTTTTTGGATTTTCATTATCATTTATTCTACTCTTTTGACTCTTTTCTGAATTTAATTCAACAGAATTATTTCTATTAGAATGTCTTGATTTTCTTTTTTCATTAATCTTCTTATCTTAATCAATATCAGCCAATAAATCATTTAAATTTATTATTGAACTAATACTTCTATCAAACAAATATATTTCATTTTAATCATAATTAGATATATTATTTTCTTTTCCATTTTCATGAGATTAATCAATTGATTTTTCATCTTCCCTAATATCTGAACTATAAAATGGATCATTCAAACTAAATGTTAAACTAATATTAGATCTCTACTATTTCTCAAATGAAATATCTATTTAATCATGTCTTGGTGATTCCATTCTCTTTTATTATTAATATTGATATTTCTTTTATTTCTATTTTTTCTTCATCAATTTTAATTTCAATGATTTAGCTTCTAATTGTAATTAAAATTGACTTTCCTATTATAAATTATGTTATGCTATTTTTCTCTTTATTTTTAATACTAATTCAATCATTTATGAATATCTAATATAAATTAGATGATTCAACAATTTAGCCTTCTCTTCAACAGTATACTTTTATTTTTATAATTTTATACACTCAAATTCCTTATATATATCTCTTATACTCTCCTATCTATAATTTCTAAGTCGATGTTATATTCTATAAATTAAAAAATGTTGAAAAACAAATCTAACTAATTTACTCCAAAACATGAAAAATTTGAAAAAACAATTATCAAATATGTGATCACTAATTTCTTTTTAGATTTCTATTGGCATTTATGGAAATATATTAAATATCAATTAAAGTGCTTTACTAATTGATGAAGCATGTTAACCATCAAAAATCATAAATAATCCCTTCATTAAAAATTAATAATTGTAATCTGTTGGAATCTTCTTATTTTATTTCTTTATTATTTAAAACCATTCATTAATCATATCAAGAGTATAAAACACTGCAATACCATCATAAAGTTTAGTTTTATGAAATATTACAATTACTAAATAATTAAGCATATTCTCATTCTCTAAAATACATAATGAAGCATGTTTAATAGTTTCTGGATATGGATATTCATTTGAATATTTAATCTCTAATAATAAATATTTTATTAAAATTAAATAACCAGGAAAACCTGACCAAGTTAAACTCATATCATAAGGATGTTTTGCCTTCTTATAATGATTCAACATTAATTAGAACCATTTCAAAAATACTCTACTTGTAAGTATTATATTCTTCCAATCAATAGTATTAAGTATATCTTATAATTACTTTTTATGTTCTTAATGTCTAGGATCACTTTATAGATAATCATAAAAATTCTTATCCCATTCAGCAGAGAATGTATTATCAATACAATTTATTCCAAAATCTTTTTCAAATTCCTCATTTAGTAAACGTTAATCTTGTTTTAAGATATCAATAACTAATTTTTAAAATTATGGTATTCTAAAAAATGCAATAACCAAAAATGCATTTACAAACAATTCTTCTTTATCATTTTATCCTTATTAGTTTAGTTTCTATGCCACTTTCTCAAATGTCTAATGTAAAAAATTCTAATAATGCAATCCTATTCTAATTTTCTAATTTAATTGTTATATAAGTTTTTTATTTTTAGATACATAATTTTGATCATTTCTTAATAAATATGCTTCTTTAAGATCTTTATCAAAACCTAAATAACTAATAAAGAATTCATCTCTATTCAATAAAGTAATAAGCACATCATAATATTGATCTCTCAAATCTTCATCAATTAAATCAGCACTTTCTAATAAATTCTTTGTTAGATCCACAAAGACTAATTAAGCAGCTATCATTTCCTCAAGATTTTCATATAATTCTTAATTTTTAATTAAAGTACTCAACTTTTCAATAATTTAATTAATAGCCTTATTAATTTTAACTCTCTCTCTATGTTAAAGACTCTTTTGATTCAATTTTCCAGCTAATTCATCTATTTCATTATTAATTTATATTATTTGATTGATATTTGGACTCTAAGGTCCAGAATATTTATCTTTTTTAATATAAAGTAAAGAAGATCTTTGAATACCTTCTTCTGTTCGAAATCCTCCTAACATCTATCTAATAAAAGTATCCTTTGTTATAATAAATTCTGCTTTTACTCTTCCAACACATTAACCATGTATCCATAATTTATCTGTAAATATAACTTCTTAAAGTGAGATCCTATCTAATTCAGCTAAAACATTAACATTTTAACTAAAAAATTTATTTAGAGATATAACTGAATTTCCTATTTTTCTAACACTTACATTATCAGATTTTTCATTAGGTTTTGAACTTCCCCAAAGAATGAATTCAAAAGAAGAACTAGAAAATGAATCAACATAAATATCAAAGGATATGATTGGATTATTTTCTTATACTTTGAATTCCCACAATAGATCCTTTTTTGTTATCAAACCCATAGTTGAATAGGGTTTTCTTTGATTTAATGATTTATTAGTTTAGGATTGATTAGTTGAGAGATGTATCATAGTACTGAGTTAATTATTGGATTTAGATTTTTTTAACATCAAATCTTAATCATTCTTAAGTCCGTTCTTTTTCAAATAACAACTCTTAAGATCGGTTTAAATATTTTCATCCTAAGATGAATCAAAGATGTCTCTAACCAATTGAAATTCATCAGATTCACTCCTTAATTTTTCTTTGGAATCTATGTATCCATATTATTTAATTGAAGATTAACGGTATAAATAATGATTTAAGTAATTAGGAGAGAAATCACTATAGTAATCTACTTAATGAGACTTGAATATAAATTAATAATATGATACTCTAACTTTTAATTAAAAATTGTAAGCTTGTTCCATCAATTAGTCTTTAAGTTCACACATAACTTATTTACTTTGAATTTTTAATGTTGTCATTTATACCATTCTCAAATCAAAAGTAATTCTGGATGAATTAGCTTTTGTAGATTCAAGAAACAAATCATAATGAATGGGACCATTTGCAACTTCCCACATATTTTAAACAACATAAGCAAAACATTTATTTTTTTCAGCACAAAAGACACTCTGAATAAATAAGAGTAGTATACAATTTTGAAAAATTCTGACTTTAAGGTTTCTAAATCACTTTCATGAATTGATCTAAATGTTTATCTCCAATGTGGATTAGAATTATTATATGAAATTTAAGTTTAGAAACATTCTTAATTTGCAATTGAAAAATGAACTTTAGTTTTTTTAAGTGTAATATTTTTGATTTTGATATTTGAAAATATGATCTTAAATTTGATTAAAGGTTTTAAGAAAGTAATTTCATTATTGATATCCTTCTTCTCTTTTTTTAATCCACAACCCATATATATATATAGATAAATAAATATTAAATATTAAATTATCGAATAATTCAATCTAACAATTCATCAGTATATGATATTGTCTATTTTTTTGATTTGTTATCTCTTAATAGATCTTTGAATACATCACCTAACATCAATTAATTATAACCAGCTCCTTATAATTCTACTCCATATTCACTTTCATCATCTCCAATCCTTTCTAAAGGTAGATTTTAATCCTTTTTACCAATTTAACTCTATTTTTAACAGAAACCATAAATAACTACAATAATCACTATCAAAATTGCTAGCAATAATATTGATAATGTAACATAAAACCATGCTACATTATTGATTTAACTATCTTATTAAATCCATCCTATTTCAAATTATGCTTAACAACTAGAATAGGAATTATATGCAGTAATATTCAAATATACAGAATGATCCTAAATTAATATAATTTATATACTCTATCATCATTTGCTGATTACATTGGATAATATAAATAATAACCATTCTCAGCATATAGTATTAGATCAATTAAAAAATATGTACTATTGGTAATTAAAAGATGTGACTTAGATGTATTTTCTTATGCATCAGATTAATATAATTAAATTTTTTGGAAATGCAATTCTTATGGGTTTACCAAATAAGGTTCCAAGATTTCTACTGGCCTAGAATAATTACGACTATAGTTTCCTAAATATTATCATTCTAAATCATACTAATGAAAAGCGATGTATAAACTATATTAGTATTTAATTCATTGAGTAAATAAGTCATCTCAACCTAAACAGATTGATATTCAAATTAATTCGATAAACATTAGCTTACTATATAAAATACTGTATCATTTTAATATGATAGCTCAATTTGTGGTCGAGATAGAAAATTATGATGACATAACAAATATTAATAGAAAGTATATTGTAATTTGGCTTGGAATGTTATAACATTAAAAGTAATTTCATAAATTTGATTATTGTTACCTACTGACAAAGTCTAATCCATTTGGGATTCATTGACAATATGAGGTTGAAAATGATTGATAGCCTAAATGAAGACAGCTTTTTCAAATCTTACATAATCTTCATCTTCTTAGAATATTAGGTTTTTTCCAGGCCCATAAGCAGGAAAGCCAGTAGTCAAATTAATAACTTATACAAATATATTATTTGGCTATAAGACAATTAAGTATAAGAATAAAATTTATTAATATTCAATAATAGACAATGCAAAATCTTCAGAATATTAAAATGGTTATGAATTATTTTAGTTTGGATAAGAATTATACTGAATAAATTATATAGTTTGATTTTCTGTAATAATTATTTGATATATTCCAAAATAAGAATTCAATTGTTAATATCCAATCTTAATCATCTAATATACCTAATTATTATAAAGAAATGGTTATAAATCATTGAAATAGCAAAAACAAAATTAACGATTATTCATTACATATGTTGTAATTGATATATTATTAGTTAATTTTGTATAAGAATACTCTAAGTAAATATATTATTAAATATTCTCTTTATCCTAAAAGGAGAGATTACCATTTAATTTATGAAAGTATTTCAATTAGCATACAATAATTAATACATTCACTCCATTCAATTACATTTAACAAAATAAAAATGAATTAAATGGTTTGAATTAATGATAGTATATCAATCTTATTGAACAAAATGATGAGTTGGTTGTTTATTAATTTTATGTGTAATCAAAGTAAATACATGATCTATTTTCATCTGGAATAGAATTTTTTTAATAAAACAATACATAGTAATCAGTTAATACAATTATTAATTCATTATAATTACTAACTAAATTATTAGAATATAAATATTACTATTTTTAATCTATTGATTAAACAAACTTGTATATATTTCATCTCCTACATCTATAATTTATGTTATCTCTCCAAATTATGATACTTCATTCATGTAACTTCCTAGATATTTATTCATTTATAAATATGGAGATGGAATTATTGATAAATTTACTTAATTTGAAGAATGATTATATGATGCAATTGGACCATTAAAGATGGATTACTATTAAAATAATTGTTGTATTATATACATTAACTAAAAATAAGTATTAATAGAATCCTCCAGCTTCAATATACTAACCTTTATTAATTTCTACTTTATATGTTTCTGAAGAATCATATGCAAAGGAAATCTAAGTACTAGTGAAATTGTATATCAATGTATAATTTCTTATATAATTAATTTATTTAATACCTAAACATAGTTTTAGTCTTTTAAGGTTAAAATACACCAATTACTAATACAAAAGGTGAATTATTATAAACAGGAATAAATTATTATTGGAGATGAAATATAAATTCTGCTTTTTAATTTAAATAATAAATTTCGAATTTCTTCTCTGTTATGATTAGTGTCAAACTTATAGAAGATCCTGCTATTAATGAATCCATTAAATTGCTTATTGGATATGTAATCTAATATTATTTTGATAATAATTATACAATTAATTCATTCTTCTTTTTCTCAATTTCTATTTTCTCAACCAAAGATCTAGCAGTATAATCTTCCAAATTGTAAATATAATAATTTTAAAAATAATCATTATAAACACTTTTTGTAATTACTGGAACATATAATATTAAACCAGATATTAAAATCTTAGTTTTAGAACTTAAAATAGTATCATAATGTGGAAGTCTTCTCCAAAAATTAATTTAATTAATATTAGTAATTATGTATTATAAGATATATGGTGTAAAATTGCCATTCTAATTTTCCTAACACCAAACTATTAAATATTGTTTTGCTAATTTTGATTAGAAATATTTAGTTATTTCAAATCCTAACAAATTGTTATTCTAACATTGTGTAATGTTAAGTACAACATTTGTTAATGTAGAAGTAAAATTATATAATTTATCATCCTTTGTTTATTTACTGGGACCAGGAGTATATACAACAATTTAGGAACTAGAAAATAAAACAAATAAAGTTTATTAATTAATGTATGTGTATCTAAAAGAAATAATAGTATTAGTAGTTTCTAAAGTATTGTAACAACTACAATTATGGTATGTGATATCTGGATTAAATTAACTAGGTAACTAAAATATTATAATTATGACTTACAAAAACATCTAAAACATAAAAGTATAATTTTTTTTAAGTATTATTATAAAGAATTGTAAAAAAGTAAGAAACTCTCTCATTTTTTATTGGTCCTTAAAGAATAACAATTTAGAGTATTAATTCATTTTATTTTTGCATATCTGTAATATTCTGACATCTTTCACGTCCACTTAATGTCTCTATCTTTTAACATATAACAATACTAATTTTAATAATAATTTAATTATTACATTGAATTGTTATATTAGACTGCTATGTCATAATATTCAAATTATTTATAATAATCAACTTGTTATAAGTATTTATGTAGATCCCTATATCTCACTTCTGTACATTATTATATTTCAATATTAATTGGAAATTACTTTTCAAAACTTTACTAAAATAAATAAGATATTTATTTACATATTCTCTTGCATTTATTATACATGTTTTATTGAATATGATTGATTAACTAGTTTCTAATTTTTCTATAGATTAATTATTATTTTAATAAGTCAATAAGATTTCAACAATGCCAAAAATATTTGAAGTAACAAATATATTTTTATTTACTGCACTTAATACATTAAAAACTGATCTTGGTTAATTATGTTTATCATAAAACTAATTTTATTTAATAACTGCTTTATGATTTTAATAATAAGGATAGAATCTACTTATATTGTAATTGGGGACATAATTGAAATTTAAAAATGGACCCATTATCTATATAATCTAAATGAAACATTTACTCCTTCAAATAAATCAATAGAATTAATGATCTCTTAGAATACCAATATATCCTTGCTTATAGGACATTATTCTAAACTATTTTACTCCTTCTATTCAAGCTTATGTACTTGAGCAATCAATTGAAAACTACTATCTTCTAATTTGATAAAACATAATATGATATATCTAGGAAAAGTCACAATATTATAATTATAGGTGTCTTAGAATTAATCATATACAAAGTATCCACCTGAAATAGTAAATGAAATCTAAATTATAAATAATTTAATTACTATAATTGGTGCTATTTATTGATTGTATGTTTAAAGTAAATTATCTTATCCCAATAAATAGGATACATTCATCTATCTAAATATTAAATAATAATTGTACTTCTCAAATAATGTAATTATATTGAGTTTCTTATCAAAAAAGTTATATAATAATATGAAATTTCCAAAATCTATTTAATTTAAACTTTAAAAGAAACTCTAAAATTAATTGAAACTATTTGTTTAATAATAAACAGTTTTGTATTCAGCATTTAAGTAAAATATTTTCAATATATTTTTGGTTTCTCCAGATGCTTACTTAGAACAATATAAATTTGGTTTAGAATAGAAAGGGGACATTTATTGAACAAATGGTGAATCAGTCATTATCACAGCTAAATATTAACTAGTAATGGACATATCAACTAATAAGTAACCAGGTTCAAATATTTGCTTATAACTAATAGTAAAGAAGTTTTCAGATTGATATGATCTTTCCAAATAGATAACAAGGATAGCAATATTAGTTCCAGTTACCAAAACTACCTCATCATTGAGATTTTATACTAATCTAATTTAATTTGGCTAATAAACTATAAAATATCATAATCATTACGCTCAATAAGAGTACTATTGCATTTTATATTGTAATGTGATGTATATATTTCCTATACATTACATTTACATATTGTAGGAGATGACTGAAACAAAAACCCAATATTCCAAGTAGAATTATCAAACCCATTTATCAATGAGTTTATAAATATCTATTCAATCATAGTATTCTATTCCATCTTACAAGAATTTAAATCTTAAATATTGGCTTTGAAGGCTTGTAATTCCAAAATTTAATTGTGTCTATTGAATCTTTCATGATAAATTATTAAAAATTCATTTGTGATTGCCTTTTGATTAAATAGACTTGGACAGTATTAGAGATATTCAAATTTTATCTCATTAGCAACATCCAGAATATTTGCATTGATTGTTTTTCTATATTAACATTTCTTAAGAAAATTCTCATTTTCTTCATCCTCATAAATATATTAATAGTAGTTATTGTATGTAAAATTGATTATAATCAATGTTTATTCATCAAACACTAAATCAAAAATAAGTATGGTAGCATTTTTATTAATATCGCAATCTACTCCAAATTAATTATTCTTTCTAAGTTAAAATATGGAATAGCATGAAATATTTTTAAAATTTTCATTCAAATCAAATAAATCTCTATATAATTTGTTTTAAACTTAGACTATTTTATCATCTGTTTAATTATAAAATAGAAGCTCTATTGCTGTTTAACTAAGGTAGAAACGAGCAGGTTAATATAAGGGTCCCCATTCATCAACTGGACAAAAAGGTGACCTATGATAAATAAATTCTTTTTTTCTTACTCTATAGGTTCCTATGAAGTTTCTATAAAAGGAGTGATTTAAAAGGTCAAATTTTAGTTTGTTGAATTGACATTACTAAAGCTAGTGTTTTCTAAGACATCTTTAGAATTAAATAAATCAATTGTGTATGATTCATAATAAGGAGCTATGACAAAAACTGGGGTATTATTATTGTAACTAGCATTCATTCATAACTATTACAAATCAGTCAAAATGACTTTGCTTTCATTTCTATTCACACACAAGATGCCTACTATAAAATTTAAGAAAATTAGAATAAGCATATTAAATATTTATTAATAATGAATAGAAATTGATAGTTATATTAAAGAGTTTCTATCTAAGATAAACATAATTATTATAATATAATTATTAATATTAATCTCTTATCTATTCTCTAAATATTTCTTATATATTATATAAGTAATTTATATAATAACATTAATAATTGTACTTTGAATGTTACAATAGTGAACAAAGTTTTTATTTATAATATTATGAATATAATATCAAATAAGACAAATCAAAAAAATAAAAAGCCTAATTCAAATGTAATCAATGCTGATTCTTTGGATATTACATATATTTGTCCCAGAATTCTTGCTATGTCATTTCCAGGAGATGGGGATTCAACATATATCAATAAGATAGATGATGTAGGGTTAATAAAATTATCATTAGGTTGCACAATATTTGCAATAACGACACCATAATGATTATTAGATATATAATTTAAGTGGGATGCAATATGATCATACTAAATTTAAAGGAAAAATTTATACTTTTGTATGCAATAGTTCTAAATATATTTTAGCCATGGGAAGAGAAATCTACACCTAATTTAGGATATTTGTTTATGTTGTGTAAACATATTGATGATTTTTTATCATGTATTTTAAGAATCTATTCTAAGCAAAATTATCAAATGTAGTTGCTGTACATTGTATTAATGGAATTGGAAGGAGTGGTACTGCAATATGTTGTTATCTATTATACAGTGGTCGATTTTCTAATGCTGAAGAAGCATTATTTTATTATGACAAGTAGAAACATTTAAATGGAGGTGGAATCACTATGCCTTCATAATTAAGATATGTGTAGTATTTTGAGAAGTTAGCTTTTATCAGTTAATCATTAGAATACTATTCTAAAGAAATATTCATCCACCTATTAAATATTTGACATCTATAGTTATACATGGAATCCCAGACATTTAAGATAAATAATGTAAACCTTTTTTAGAAATTTATACTTATGAAAAATCTTGTAAGACTTTGAAATACACAGATAAACTAGAAGTATTATCAATCTAAATTTAGTATAAAGATTAAAAGAAAGCAAAAGATTTAATGTTGAAAGATATTGAATTAATTAGAATTAATATAGGCAAACCTTTTTTGGCAATTGGAGATATAATGATTAAATTTAATCATAATGGTATTATAAAATACAATAATGAGGCCATTTTGAAGTGGAACCAATGTTTCGAGTTTCCTTTAATACTGCCTTTATAGAAGACAAGTATATACAATATTCTTATATAATAGCAAATTGAGTTTCAGGAATGAAGATTTAGATCCTTCAAAATTACAAAAAGATAATAGATTTCCTGCTGATTTAAATATTGAGATTCAGTTTAAAGAATTCTGTAAATGCACTAATGAAATATAATTTAATTAAAGGTGTAAAAGTTGTTAAAACTTGTCCAAACAACTTTGTCCTGATTGGGAATTAATATAGAATATTTTAAATGACTATACTAAACATAGTATTGAAGAGTCATAGATCTTGTTATTTGGAGATGCTGCATTTGATAATCTCAATTATGTTAAATATCAAACATGTAATAATAATTGTTAAGAAATTTTTAGTTTAAGGAGGACGTGTTCGATCTGATATTATTAAGGATATTGATGATGATTTTTGAATAAATATATATATGGTTATCAGAGATAAGATTGTTTATTAATCAAGGGAATATCATAATTACCCAATAGACATCATTTATATTAAATAAAAATTATATTAAATAATTAATTCAGATTTCAAATTCATTCTTTAAATTCTAAAAATAATCCTTCAATAAAACAAATTTATTAAATTATTTTTGTATGTATTCATCATCTTATATTTATTTACATGATTTTATTTCTAATATTGTTGGAGCAATATTCTACAATTACATCTTTGTTTTTATTATCATATCAGTTGCTTTTGCATCCATTCTTTTATCATAATCATCAGATGATCTTATCTTTTTTATATAATAAAATTATATACTGAAAGTATTGTTTCTAAACGTTAATTGATTGATTTAAGTGAAAGATTTTACTTTACTAAACTTAAAATTTATTTATAAAATTCATTTTCTCTTAATTTTATATTCCATTCAAGAATTTATTATTTAATTTCTTAAAAATCACACTTAAATTAAGCAATTTATTCTTAATAAACTTAATTAATTGTAAAATTATCTATTAAAAATTAATCTGTCTCTTCTAAAATCTAATATAATTATTCATATAATTTTTTGCTTTTTATATATTTCCTTGTTTTTGTATTTGTATTTAATAAATAATGAATATTGAAACTGTATTAAAAATATGCTAAATTTATTATTAATTATTTCCATCTAGAAATTTAATCAATTTTATGTTCAAATATTTAACAGAATAATTAACCTTCTTTTGATTCTTTTGTTTTCTAAATTTATTCTTTTAATTATTCAATTTTCTCATTAAATAACTCTCCAATACTTTCTAAAGTTGGAGGTTTTTTGAAATTTTTAATTAATTATAAATCCTCTTTAAAATAATCAAAACCCTCTTTATTTATAAATTTAAATGCATCTAAATAAATTCGATAAGTTTCAAATGTTTGATTATGCTTTTCAATTATATGAATTTTCTTCTTTACTCTATAATAATAGGGTTCCTAAAATCATAATTATGTATACTTAGATTTTCATTCTTAAAAATCTGTAAAAACATTCCTTAATTTTAAAGTAATCATCTACTTTAGTTGATAATATATTAGAATGCTTTTCAAAGAATTAATCAACCTTACAAATGTTATCTTCTTTCATTTCATTTAAACCAAATTTTAATAAAGCATCTAAATCTTATCCATATTTTCTAATTGTTTAGATTAAGTTCTTATAATCCTTGCTTAATTATAAATATCCAGAAATCATATATTTTTAATCAATAATTTCAGGATTATTCAATTAAAATTTCTTCATTTTTTATTCCATTTTAAGGAAAGATTATGACATAGAAGATGTACTTGAAATTGATGAAACGGACCTTTTTCTTTTTAATGCAATTTGATTTTTCTTAATCTATTATTGATAAGCTATTCTATGATAATCATTATTTTTAGTTTGCTTTCTGGAACTAGTTTAAGAATTCTGTCGAATTGTTAAAGTATTATTTCTACTCTAAATATTGTGTAAATTTGTTTCAGATATATTTCTAGTAGGCATTTTAGATTATTAATTTGATGGAATTGGATTAGGAATATAGATATCTTAAGTAGATGTCTTATTTAGATTTAACAAATCCATCATATCCAAACATTAGTTCATTATTATTATTATAATTATTATGATGATTAAATATTATCAACTTTTGATGATGGTACATAAACAAGTTCATAACTCTCTTATAAGTATTTTTCATCATCATTTTCATCATTATCTTCAACAACTTATTCTACAACAACTTTTTCAACTGGATAATTTCTTCTCATATCCTTTCTTCCTCTATAAAAATTAGCCATTTATTCTTCTTTCTTTCTTCTTCTCTCCATTATTTATTTTTTCTTTTCTTCATCCTTTTAATTAGTTTATCTTTATTCTCTATAAATATTATATAAATTATTTTACTTTTTCTTTAAATTAATCTTTTTTTCTGCATCTATAAAATCTTATTTAGATTTCATTAGAAATTATAATTTATATTCTGATAATTCTAAAACAATCTTTTCTAATTACTAATCATTATATATTAATTCAATTACATTTAATGTAAATTTAAGCATTTTTGAATCAATCCCTAATTTCTTAATTAAAGGATCTTATTCTTTCTTAGAAATATCTGTATAGATTTCTATTATTCTTTTTCCTATCTTATCCATATCTAAATTTTCACCTTCTGCAAATTCTAATTTATTTTAATCTACTTTATCTTATTTTTTTAATTCCTGTTAATATTGTTAATGCATAACATATTGTTTCTCTAATACTTTGAATCTTTATTCATTTTCTTTCTGATGTATTGCTAATGTCTCTCTTAAATGTTAAGCCTCTCTCTTTTTTTATTCAATTTCTTCTTCAGCATCTCTTTAATTCTACATATTTCTTAAATTTCCTTCCTCAATTGCATCCAAAATCTCTATCACTGTATCAGCCATCTTATTTTACTTATATTCAAATTGCAATTACTCCAATTGTTCTTTTGATCTTGTTTCAGATTCCATAACATTAACTCCAGTCAAAAATAAAGTTCTTTTAGAATTAGTAGTAGTTTATGGTAATATAATCTCTTTTTCTAAATCTGAAAATTTAGTTTTATAATGTTACTAAATCATATTATTCAATGATTACTTTGATTTTCTCTAAAAATTATCTATATTTATCTAATTTATCATATTCATCTTAAAGTTTACTTTTCTATAATTTCAATCTATCAATCTATGCTAATATTCTAGCAACTTCAACTTTCACTTCTTCTTTCCTTCTCACTTCTTTGTCAGCTAAAATTGCAGCATAATCTGCTTAAGATTTAACTTCACTCATAAATCTCTTTACTAATTCACAATCATTTTTAAAGTATAATTTTCTAGCTCTTAAAGATTCCTATTCATTTTTTATAAAATCCTCAAGTCTATTTGTTTCTTCTTTTTTTGTTAATATATTTAGATTTGTTAAACAAATCTCTCTTTTCTTTTCAACAAAATCTTAAAGTGTTTCTTTCTTCTCATTCAAAATACTCCTTATTTTATAAGCTTTCTATAAAGAATCTTAATAATTTTTTTCAAGCATTCTAGGATTAAATTGTTTCAAATGACATTAGATTGGATCTGGCTTTGCATTAAAACTTTTAGATTTCAAATCCTAAGAGAATACAAGATCTCTTTCTACTGCCAATTTTTCAGCTTAAGCTAGATAAAATAAATTTACTCTACTCTTCTAATTTTCTCAATAAACCATATCTACTAGCTGATTTACCAATATAAAGTTAAGTTAATCTAGTCTGCTATTTTTAATCATCCTCTTCTTCTATTGCATTCCTATCATATTCTAAAGAATTAGTAAACTTTTTAGGATCCTTCTCAAATTAAAATGGATTATCAATCATATATTATTATAATAACTATATAAAATCACAATTCCTTCTTAATTTTTTTTAATCTAATCTTACATACTCTCATCCTACTTTAAGTATTTCCATAATTCTAATTGAAACTCATATTTTCTTGAGTATTTCTATTGTCTTAAATCCATCAATTACTTAAAATATAATTTTCAAGTTTAAAAGGACATTATCAAATTAGAATCTATTTTTAATTCCTTCTAAGATGACTGTAATTATTTCATATATAAGTTGTACTTATTTTAGATTTTTAACATAAATTCTATATTTTTTTGATAATATTTAATTATCTTAATTTAATTGTACAAACTTTTGACATTAATTATTTCATAATATTTAGCCTTATTAAATATGTAAAATGATTAATAAAATATCATTATTTAATTTCTTTTATTTTCTTTGTTAACTCAGGTACTACTTTAAATAAATCATCAACAATTGTATAATCAGCTACACTTACAATTGGAGCTTCTGGATCTATAAAAAATTATTAATTTAAATATACCTTTATTAATAGCTACAATCACTTTTGAATCTTTCATTCCAGCTAAATGCTAAATTGCTCCTGAAATACCTACAGCAATGTATAATTCAGGAGCAACTACTTTTCCTGTTTATCCAACTTATTAATCATTTGCAGCATAACCAGCATCAACTGCAGCTCTTGATGCACCAATAGCAGTATTACCCAAAGCATTTGCTAATTCATCTAATATTTTGAAATTGTCTTTGCTTCCTAAACCTCTACCTCCTGAAATAATCTATTATCAATATAAGAAATACAAATTTAGCAGTAGTTAATTCTGGTTTATCACTTTATACTAATTCATCAGAGACATGTTCAATTAATTATTTAGTATTTTCAATCTTTACTTATAAAATATTTGATACTTTTTCACCAATTTGTTGAATCTACTTATATAATAATCATATACTTCTTCAAAATTTGTTGGTCTAAAGGAAATGAATTTAACTTTATCATTTGATTTAACTTAAGCTATTGCATTTCCTGCATAAACAGGTCTTAGAAATACATCATTATTTATGGCTATAACATCAGTTATTGGTTGAGATGCATATTTAACAGCAACTCTAGGTAAAAAGTCTTTTGCTAAAGTAGATGTGCTTGTAACAATATTAGTAAATCCATGTTAATCAATCAACTATTTAACTAAATTGCTTAACAAATCAGCTTATGGTGCTTTAAATGAATCATTTTATGCTACTAATACTTAATGTACAATATTTTTTGGAATTGAAGATTTAATTTAATCAATCACAGAATTAGCATCATTGCTAGTTACTAATAAAGAGATCTATTAATTTAATAATTTTGCTGCATTTAAGATTTTAAGTGTTGATTTAGATAATTTACCATTTGAATGATCAGCAAACACAAGAGTTGAAAATTTTCCACAATTTCTTAAATGTTTCATCATCATATTAATTAAAATGTATTAATTTTTATATGTTATAGTTAATTGTTAACTTATATATAAATATATATATATATATATTGTTTATTTGAGTATTGAATATATTAAGAATTGATCATAGTTTTACTATTGAAACATTCTTCCATATAAATTTGATGATTCTATTCATTAATAGAATTTATAATAAATTTGATATTATAAATTAAGAGAATAAACCAACTTTATTATTTTAAATAATGAGTAAACATCCAATTCAAAATTATTAAATTTTAAAGGTCATTGGCAAGGTATTTAAAGTTATTAAACATTTTGTAAGGGAGCATTCGCTATAGTTTATTAAGGTTAACATCAAAAAACTAAAGAGATAGTTGCCATTAAATAAATAAGTACTGATATGTAAGAAGGTCCACATAAAAAGAAAATGTTAGAGTTATTTAGTTAAGAAATTGAAATCATGAAATCTATTAAACATTAAAACATAATTGAATTAAAAGAAGTGCAATATACTTCTGATTCAATTAATATGATACTAGAGTATTGTGCTCTTGGTGATTTAGAAAAGTACATCAAAAAGAATTCTGCAAAAAATAGATTAGCTGAAGATGAAGCTAAACCAATTATCCTTTAATTATTGGATGCTATGAAAATTTTACGTTTAAAAAATGTCGTTCATCGAGATCTCAAACTTGCAAATATTCTCATAAATGAATAAATGTAAATAAAATTAGGTGACTTTGGATTTGCTAAATCTGTTAAAAATGATTTAATGGAATCATATTGTGGAACACCTATTACTATGGCTCCAGAAATACTTAAGTAATCATTTTATAATAATTTTAAAGGAAAAATGATAATTATGATCATAAATGTGATATTTGGTCTTTAGGTGTCATGATCTATTAAATTATATATGGATAACCACCATTTATTCCAAAAAAAGGAACTGTATAAGATTTGATCAGCGAAATTGAAAAATAAATTGTACACATAAATTATATAAATTAGATCCTTTTTCCTTAATAAATTATTGTCTCTTCTGAATGTATAGACTTAATACGTAAAATGCTTGTTGAAGATCCAAAAAAAAGAATATCTTTTGAAGATCTTTTTAGACATCCATGGTGTAATACTGAAGTAATTGATCTTAGAAAATCTTTTCTAAAGACTTATGCACCATAACACTAAGAATTTCTTATTAATTTATCTTTTACAATCTAATAACAAAATAATTAGCTAATCTCGATAACACGATTGATTTAATCAATTGAGAATAAGTATTAAGAATTCACTTAAATTTGTATTGACTTTCGAAATGTTTTGACCAAAATTTTTTCATCAATTCAGTTGAATATTATTTACTCAAATTAAAAGGTTTGTATTAAAATACCAGATAAATTTCATTATTTTAATTATCAATAGGAATTGTTAATATTTTTAGCCAACTTATATGAAACAGCTATTAAATATAATAATAGTAATATCCTTGATTTTCTTGATTTGAATATAAAAAATTACTAAATAACCAATTATTTTTCTATATAATATGAAGAATATACTGTTACGTTATTAGAGGAAATTAAGAATTTGAAATTCTCAGAAGAAATAAACAAAGGAAAATCATTAATATAAGTGGAAGATTATAAAGGATAAAATAAATTTCTAAATTCAGATTTAAACACTTTAATTGAACTTATAAGAGACAGATTTAAAAATTAATGAATTATTATAATAGTTAATATTAATCTATTTTCTTACATAAGAACCATAAATTACATTAATTTTATTATACCTTTATATTATTTACTTAACATCTTAAATATAGTTTCCTTTCTTAAATATGATTTTTATATTTATTAAATTCTATTAATATATATAATTTAATCTATAATTTTACATTTAATATTTGTATTTGATGAACAAATAACATATGAAACAATAAATTACAGCTATTTTACTACATTTAAATTAAAAAAATAAACTTTTCAATTTCATATTTAAATAAATCAGATTCATATTCTTCATAAATAAAATTAATTAAATTTCATCTTAGATTTTATCAACATAAAATAGGATAGCAAGGATAGTAGAGTTTCTATTTTAAAATTGAATTTTTATATTTAAAGATGATATATATATAATTAGAGAATTATTATATAATATAAATAATGAAGCCAAAACCTTAAATTGAGACCAATAATGTTTTTGACATCTTGCAAAAGGCTAGTTAAAATCTTAAGACATAAAAATTGGATCTCATTAACTCTGTTAGGAATATGTCAACCAAATCAAATTCAAATAGCAATATTTTTGGGAAAGAATTCTTAAAGCAATAATTTTGCAAAGAGAATCAAAAAAAGAAGAAATAGATGTCAAATTTAGAGTTAGTTGCAGCTATGCAAAAGTATAATTAATTATTGCAACAAAAACGTGATACACTTACCAGAAATTATTCAAAAAGTTAATCACTGTTAAATCAACTAGTCACTAAAGTAACTCCAAACTTAGAACTAAATATGTTTAAACAATCTTCACGATCTCCTATATCTACAGATGTAAGACCTTAAACTTCTGACTTAAAAGCCACTTCTTCTGTATAACACAAAAGATAACAATCAATAGGTTCCAAAGAATAGAATTATAAAAAATTATACAATGCTATGTTACAAAAACCTAAGAAGGCTTAATCACATTAAACTACTCCTCAACATTCTAGATAATAATCATTATAACAATCATAACAATTATCTAATCGAGAATCAAAATATTTTGAAAGCATTAAATTTAATAAGGAAAATAAGGAAAATAGTTAATTTCAATATTATTTGGGTAAAATTAGATAAGTATTTACTCGTCCTTTAAGAGACGATTATTTTAGCTGTATTTATAGGGAACATTTTTTTCAAACTTATTAAGGAATTTATGTTGCTTCTTATCTCAGACCAGTTGACCCTAATGATGTAAAGAAAAAAGCTGTTTAATTAAAATAAAAGGAAAAATATAGAAGTATTATTAATTCTTATTTAACAATTAGATAAAATATCATTAATTTTTGATTTAGATGAAACTTTGGTACATTGTAATGAATCATTACTTTAAAAATCTGATATTGTATTAAATATACAAGTAGGTCCAAATGAAGTAGTTAAAGCTGGAGTTAATATTCGTCCAGGAGCTATTGAATTATTGGAATCTTTAGTTGATGATTTTGAAATTATAATCTTTACAGCTTCTCATTCATGCTATGCTTAATAGGTCTTAGATTATTTGGATCCTGAAAACAAACTAATTTCTCATCGTCTTTTTAGAGACAACTGTATTATGACAACAGGGGGAATGTATACAAAGGATCTTAGAATTTTTGATAGGCAATTAAGTTAAATTGTTTTGATTGATAATGCTGCTTATAGTTATGCTTGGCAATTAGATAATGGAATACCAATAGTCCCTTTTTATGATAATAAAGATGATCGAGAATTATGGGGTTTATAAACCTATTTATTAGGTATGATTGGTGTGTCTGATGTCAGAGAATATAATAGGTAATAAATAATAATAAAATTAATAGAGATAAATTAAAATTAAATTAATTTTTTGATTCCTAAGGACCTGCAAATGTATTTGAAAAACTGTTTTAATAGAAAATTGAAATATGATTTTAGTTAATCTTTAAAAATTCAATTTCATACATCCTTCTTCAGTAGACTGATTTATTGACTTTCACAAACACAAAAGAAACTAAAAATATATTTTATTAAACAATTTGTAAAATTATAATGAAAAAATATACGAGTAATTAATAACTTAGAAGATCAAATGGTCCTTTGGGAAGGTATCGACTCTTTAAGCATAATGAAATAGATAGAGCAAATTTATTTGAAGGTTTACCTTATGTATAATTTGATGCTTTCATAAGAAGAGGTAAAAATTATTGAAATGTATTTAGATAGGACAATGTAACATGTTGTAATTAGAGATTTGTTAAAAATAATAATGGAGAAATGCAATTAATTAAAGAATTTATTACTTGATAAGTTTCGACTTAAAAAGATCTTTTTATTAATGGATTTAATGGAACAGCCTAAAAAAAAGGGTATGTTTAATTAAAGGTTGGAAGACACCATAGTACTAATTGATTAGATAGGTTCAATCATATTATAGGAATTTAAAAAGAACCCTGAGCAGATTGGACTTAAGTAGTCACCTATTAAACATTTATAAGAATAAAATACAGAATACATAGATCCTCATTAAGAAGAAAAAATATATGATAAGAATGTAGATTTATTTAATGAAATGTTATAATATTTAAGGGATCGAATAGAATTATATATGTTAATGATGAGGTAGGCTGGTCATAAGATTTTGGATGATTAATAATGTATGAGTTTTTTGAAAGATGTTACAGCTTTACGTTACAACTTATTGTAATTAAGTGAAGATATCAGAGTTTTAGATTCTAATTCTGAAGATAATTTAAAATTAATCAAATTGACTCTTTAAAGATTTGAAACAGTTAGAGATAAAAGAATTGAAAAATTGTCACCTGAAAAAAAAAGTGAAGAATAAAAGATTGAAGATAAGAAATTAGAAGAAAAGAGAAAAAAGATAGATTATATTGAGAAGAATTTGATTGGGAAGACATTATCAAATATGGATGATTAAGCAGAATCTGAAGTTTAAGTATGTTTTCAATAATTTATTAAGAGAAAAAACGAGCATAAAGATTGAATGAATTATTATAATAGAAATTCAATTTTAATAAAAGTTCCATTATTACAAGAGAATCCAAATTGATATTGAATTAAGAGTATTAAATGCTTATTTAATAATTAGCAAATTAGAATAAGAAAAGGTATTACTATTAGAAAGTAGTCAAAAGGCTTCTAAAATTAAACATAATTTAGTTGATAATAGAAAAAGGTTAGCATTAGAAAAGTTAAAAGATCCTACAAAAGATCCCTAATTACGTGGAGCCTTAGAAATTATGGCAAGAGTTCTTAACATTAATATTTAAGATTAATTTTAAGAATGATAGATATTAATTATTAGAAAATTGATTTTTAATATATAATAAGATACAAAAATAAACATAAATTTAAAGAGGATATTTAATAGTTATTCTGGGCTTATGATAGATAGTAATTAATTTAAAATTAAGAAATATATCCAACTAAGTATTTTATATTTATTCTAATTCTTATTAGATTATCAATGCAGTATAATACAATTTAGGCTAATAAAATTATCCAACAGTTTATTTTAGCCAGTTTTTAGATTTGTGAAAAACGTTTTTGCATTTCAAATAATAAAGTTAAATAATTTAATGTATTTTAAATAATTATTAAAATCATTTTTGTACTTTTAGCTTCTATTTTGAAATTTGTAAAGCTTCTTCAGATAATTTAAATCCTGGTATTATTGATAGGGCTATTGAGAAATTATTGATTGCCTCTTCATGTCTATCTAATTATTATAAAGCATATCCTTATAATATATATATATATTGAATTACCTTTATAATGGTAGGCATATGGATATATTGATCTCTATTCCAGTACTTTATCATACCAAATCAAAGATTCACTAAATTTCCTTTAACCTCTTAAAGACTCACCTAAAATATTAATTTATGATTACTTTTTCCCCAAAGAGCAAAAAAGTGATTTGATTTTATTGAAAGAACCTTTTCATAGATTTCTAGAGAATCCTCAAATAAACCAAGTACTAATAGCATATCCCCTAATAATATATGTTATATATCACCTTTTTTAACTAATGCGTCTACATTATTTGATGATAACTCCAAGACTTAATCAAATAATTAATTAGCTGTGTGATATTCTTTCAAGTCAAACATTGTACAACCTAATGAAAATTTTCACATTTACCTTTTTCAAATAACATCTCATAATTTTTAGGATCATCCTAAAGGAGTAAATCATAAATCTCCAAGGCTTCCAAATAATACCCTAAATTTCTTAATGTATTAGCTTAACAATAATTGCAACCAATTACCCTTTTTTTAATAAGCCTCTAAATATTTTTCGTTGTATGATATACATTAATTGTATCCTATAATTGCTTCTTAAGATTTGTTTAACAATCTTAAGATATCACCTATTTAGATAATTCTTATGTAGTTACTTCTATAGCATATAGAATCGAGATTTTTAGGGTATGCTTTTAATATGATATTATCTAGTTGAGATAGAGCTTCTTAGTATTTGCCTTGAATTATTAAAATAATTGCTATAATAATGATAATAATTTAATTTACTTAATTTAATCCAAGTATAAATTCTATTTGGATTTATTTTTATTGTTCTTTTAAGTGTCTATTCAGCTTCATCAAATTTCAAATTGACAAATAAAATATCTGCTTCTAAACAAAGTAATAGATCATAATTTAGATTAGAATTCTTTATTTGATTCAAAATTTGTAAAGCTTCATCACAATGATTTAAACGAATTAAAATAAATGCTGAAGAAATTATTAATATATTTGTACCATATACTAATAACTCCTCATTAGTTAAATTTTGAATATTAAAATATTGAAGAGCTTGTTTCAATAATTCCTTAATTTCTATTTCCTTATCTTAAAATAATAATCTAACTAATTTACTTCTTGTCCATTCTAATTTATGGTCTTCCATAATTTCATTTTAAGTTTTGATAAAATATTTCAAAGCCTACTTAATATTTCCCATTTATCCTAATGTTAACCCTAATGATTATTTTAGCTAAGTTACCTATTTTTAAAAAGGCAAGTATTAAATCTTTCCTAAGTTTTTTTATTTTTCTATATTGTTCTAAAGCCAATTAAAATTATTAAAGCTTTACTAGGGCATCACCTTATATAGAATAATTTTTTACCATAACCAAATAAAGCAGCAATATTCTTAGAATCTAATTCTAAAATATTCATATAAATCTAGATGGCTTCATCAAACTTATTCAAATCCATTAGTTATTTACCTTAATTTTTATATAGCTATAAAACCTTTAATTAATTAGGCTTCAGTTTAAGTAAGTTTGTTATTTTGAGCTTGCTTGTCCAAAGAAAAAGTTTGATTATATAAGCTTTGTTTTTGTAATTCATTATCTAAATAAATTTGTATCAATATACTCTAATTATTATTTGATATTAAAGTAAGAGGTTCATTTTATTAAGCTATTTTTTAAGAGTTTAAATTTGAGGAAAATATTTGAAACATTTGAATAAAATATTAAGTTAGTCATTCTTAAATGTGGAATTATAAAAAATTCATTTTTCTGTGATATTTCTGAAATGAATTTTATTACAATATTATTTTAAATTGGTATTAATATTTTTTTATTCATAATCAATAAGATAAGACTTTAAAGAGCTAATTAGGTATAGTCTAAAGACAAAAATAGCTTTATTATTTAACAAAAATTAAATCATCTTTTCCTTAGTTTTAGTTTAATTAATGATATCAGTAAAAAATATCTTTTTTAAATAGGGTTCTGTATTCTGTCTTGATTTGTTTTGTTTTTCAGTTTATATGCAATCTTTAAAAAAAGAAAGAAATTAATGAATTAATATGAATAAAGTATGTAGTTGAATGGTAAATAAAGAAATATATGATAAATATTTATATATTTAATATAGTAAATATCTTGGATGATTGAATTTTATTTTTTTTATTTGATAAATAAATGTCTTCCTACACAAGTAGATATAGACCATCCACGCTTGGTTCAAGTGGTATAGGTTAGAATCAAGCTGCTACAACATAATCTAGCTATCGAACATAAGTCACAACAACTACAACATCTTCTAATTTATCTGTACCACAAACGACCACTACAAGTACATTTGAGAGATCTGAAGGAAGAAGATCAAGTACAATAAAAGCACCACCAGCTACAGCGTAAATAGTTATTTATATGAAGTGTTCAAATGGCACCACCATCAGGGGAGAGAAAATGGTTAGGAAAATACCCAGAAGTTGTGTGTTTCCTTTTAGCAATGGAGAATGATCGTATAATGAGAGAAAATGATGCTTTAATTAAAAGAATAAAGGAATTAGAAAGTTAAAGTGAAGGTGGAGATGTGAGAGTGAGAGAATTACAAGCAAAATTAGATTAAGCAAATAGAGATATAACGCAATACAAATCTGAAATTGATAAACATTTAATAAGAATAAAGTAATTGGAGACAGAAATTGCTGATTTTAAGTCACGATTAGGATAAGTTGATAATTCACTTGCTTAGAGATTAAAGGATGCTGAACGTAAGATCACAGATTATGAAAGAGATATAAATTAATGGAAGAGTAAATATTAAACAGATAAATCATCATGGGATTCAGAAATGAAGAGATTATAAGATTTATTAACTTAAAGATAGAGAGAATTGGATGATTTAAAAAATAATTCAGGTAGGAATTTGGATGGATTATAAAAATAAATTAGAGATTATGAAGTTAGAATTAGAGATTATGAAAATAAATTTAATACATTATAATCAGAAATAGATAGATTAACTAAATTATTAAATGAAAGAAATGCTGAAAATGATAAGTTAAAGAATGATTTAAAAAATAAGTTACTTGAATGTGATGATTGGAAAAATAAATATAATACTTTATAATAATAATTCACTACAATGAAATCTTAATATGAAAGTAAAATAGCTGATTTAGGTAATTAATTATAATAAAGGGATCGAGATCTAAATGATTGGAGAAATAAATATTCAACACTTGAGAATAAATACAATAATTTAGGAAATTAATAAAATGGATCAGAATAGAAATTAAATTAATTAACATAATTATCATAATAGTAAGTTAGAGAAATTGATAGATTAAATGGATTGTTGAGAGATAAGGATGCTTAAAATAATTCATTAAAGGAAAAGTTGGCAAGAGCAGAATAAGATAATAAAAATTTATTAGATTAAATTAATCAATTAAATCAAATGATTAAATAATTAAATAGAGAAATTGAGAAATTATAAGGAGATTTAAATGGCAGAATTAATGAAATCAATTATTTAAATTAATAGCTACAAAAATGCAATGACAATATACGTAATCTAGAAGATTAAATTAATAAATTAAATGATGATATAATGAGTAATAGAGATGAAATTATGAGTCTTAAAAGTCAAAATGAATAGTTAACAAATAGAATTAATGAATTAAATGAAAAAGCAGGATAATAATAAGGAGATTTACATGCAGCTAATTCAGAAAGAGAAGAAAAAGAACTTACTATTAAATAAATTTAAGAATAATTAGATTAGTTATTAACTGATAAATAGATTATGGAATAATAATTAAATGATTTAAGAAATGCACTTCAATAAAAGAATGATGATATTAGTAGATTAAATTAATAGAATAAATAAAGATTGTAATAATTAATGGATTTATAAAAGAAATGTACAGAGTTAGAATACACTATTAGTGAATTAAGAGGTGTAGAAATGAAATGCAGATTATTGGAAGATAAAATTAATGAATATCAAAAATTGATAGATGATTTGAAGAGAAGAGTTGCTTAATAAGATTTATAATTATTGTAAGCATAAGCAAATGAGAAGAGATTATAAGATTAAGATATACTTATATAAAATTAAGCTAAAGAAATTTAAAGACAAAATGATTAAATTACTACATTATTGAAAGAAAATGATTAATTGTAATAATAAATTTTATAATTGGAAAATGAAATCAATAAATTAAGATCATTAGAGAATTACGTTTCTGATTTAGAGAAATAATTATAAAATGCATAAGATGAATTAAGTAAATTAAAATAATTACTTGATTCAAGAACATAAGATTTAAATGATTGGAAACTAAAATATTAATAATTATAACCTTTAGAAGATTAATATCGAATTTTAGAGGAAAGATATAAATAAGCAGAATAAAGAGTTTAATAACTTTAGAATGATATTGAAAAATTAAACAAAGTTATTTAATAAAATTAAATTGATATTGAAACTCACAAATGGAATTTGAATTAGTAAGAAATGACAATGAAAGTTAAAGATGATGCTTTGGAAGCATTAAGTGAAAGAATGAATAATTTAGTTCATGATTATGAAGAAGAGAGAAAGAAGACTTAGGATTATGAGTAATTATTGGCTTAACACTAATAAACTTTAGACAAATTATCTTAAGCAGAAACATAAATTAGTAACTTAAACAGTGATTTGAATAATGCTATAAAAGATATTGAATAATTATAGAGTGAGAATCATGATATGAGACAAGATCTATAAGAATTAGAAAGATAAATTTAAGAGTTTAAATAAAATGAAGCCAGATACAAAGATATTGAAAACAAATTTAATTAATAATTAAAAGATATTGAAAGATTGACTGAATAATTGAGAGAAAAAACTCATTAATTTGATGAATTAAATTCATAGTTTGGAGCTTTGGATCTATAATTATAACAAGCAAACTAAACTATTGATGAATTAAATAGAAGGTATAAATTTAATATAATTAATAGAATTGCTGAATTAGAATAGATGAAGAGAGAACATGAAGTTTTGAAGACTTAAACAGATTAATTGGGCAATTTAAATAAATAATATTCAGCTGATTTGGATAGATTAAATGCAATTGTAAATTAAAGATAGAAGGAATTAGAAGAATTACGTTAATTGATGTAGAAATTAGAAGAAAGAATAACATATTTAACTCCATTTGAAGAAAAAGTATATATATATATGAATATTCTTAGTTCCAAGTTTTATCACCAAAATATTAAGAATCATAAGAGATAGTTGAAAGATAGAAAGAAGATATCAATAAATATTAAGAACAATTAAAGACTGTAGATGAATTAAATAAAAAGTAAGATATTTATAAATATTTAAAGAGTTTAAGATTGTATGATGATTTTAACAATGCAATTTACAGAATGTGAAGGATTGAGAAGTTAATTGGAAGAGAAGGACAATCTAATTGCAAATCTTCAATAATAATAGCATTAATGATGAATAAGAAATAAATATATATAAATAAATATATATAATAATGATATTTTCAAGAGGCTTATTCAAGTTGCCATTAAAACAAGTCTAATATTTCGGTAAAAGAAAAGATTATTATGCAATTTTGGGAATCTAAAAGAATGCTACAGAAGAATAAATTAGAGAAGCTTACACAAAGAAAGCACAAAAGTACATGTTAATACAAACATATTAGACTCTATCCAAATGTCACTACATCTGTTGCTATAAATGATGCATCAGCCCAATAAGAGTTTTAAGATGTGGCTGAAGCCTTTGCAATATTATCATAAATACAAAGCAGAAATGCCTACGATCTTTTGAGTAAAGAATAACCAGAGTTATTGTATGGTGCAGAGATGGAAAGATACAAATAATCATTCGAAAGAAATGATGATGGTACATACAAAAGACCAGGATAAGTGGCATCAGATTATGCTAAAGAGAAGCAAGATTATTTGAAAAAAGAAAGATAAGTTTTTAATGTGGATGATTTTGGCAGATACAAAGGAGGTAAAATATTATTTAATTATCAAAGGTGTCCCAAGACCAAATAAAGGTTCAGTCAGAGGAAATGCCCTAATGGGTGTTGGTTAATATCATAGACCCTTATATCACAATATGAAAAAAAATCCATTTGAAACAGAGCATCGTATTACTTCTGAAGATGCTGAATATTTTAGAGTTTGGTCTACTGAAGAGAGAACATTTAAAGAATGGACATATTTGCATTAAAATGCAGTAGTCGATTACGAATACTTAAAAGTATAAAATTATATTTTTATTAAGTTTAATGATTATAGAGCCTTCTATAGATGGACAAGAAATTTCTTCTTAATATTTTTGGCATTCCCTTACTTTTTCTAATCATTATTTAGAGGTCAATTGAGAGAAATTATAGATGAGATTAATGTAGAGATGGCTGAAGGTATACCTATAGTTGGAAGATAATTTGGAAATGTGCAAGTTGTTGTAGGCAAAACAGGAACACTAAAATTGTAAGATGCAAATGGAGGACATCATCATCATCATTGAATTATAAAATAAAAAAGAATAAAATACATAATGAACACAAATCCGTTTTAATTATTAATTATAATGTATAAAGTGATAATATTATGCTCACTTGTTCTATTTGCAAGTTGCATGAGTGAAGGAGAGACACTTCTACAATCTTTGTAAAGCACTGAATTTGGAAAAACAATAATTTAAACAATTTAAGTTGAATTGTAAGGAAATAGCAGTGTTGATAAAATTATTGATCTTCTTACATAAATGAAGGATAGAATAAATGATGAATAAGATATTGAAAGATAAAAGTCAAGAGATCATACTTAATTTTGTGATGATAAATATGATGAAATCTTATTTGTTATTGATTCATCTGAATATTAGTTGGCTAAAGATTAATAAACATTACCATTGTTTATCTAAGAATAAAAAAACAAATAAAGATAATTATTGGATAAATAAGAAATTGAAAATAGAAATAATTAACGTATTGATGAATTGACTTAAGAAAGAGACATCACTAGAGTATAAATATTGCTTAATTTTAGTAACAATATGAAGCAAGAAGAGATGAATTGACAAATATGGTTGGTGCACTTTAAGAAGGAAAAAGAATTATTAGTAAATTAAGTACCAAAAAATGGGATCCATTAGCTGGAACCTATTCTTTCCTAGAGTTTTCTTAATTTATGTTTAATGAATTAGAAGTACATCAAAAATTATTGAAAAAATAATCCAATGGAATAGGCTTACTTTATGAATTACTTTTAGAAACCTCTTAGTAAAAATATATTTTAATCTATTAATTAGAGATCCAGGAATCTAAGCCAATTAATAAGGAGTTGCTAAAATTTAAGAAATTATTGATGAATTAATTGAAAGTGTTTTCGATTTATTAAAATAAGAATTATTGACAGACAATGCTAGAGAATAAGATTACCAAAATTAAAAAGAAAGAATTGTTATATAAAATAGAAGATTAGAAGCAACTATTGCAACATTCAAGGCTCGAGTTTTAATAATAAATTAAACAATATTAGAATTGAATAATGACATTAGATTTAATACTGAAGTAAAAATAAAATTTTGAAATTTTAAGAAATCAACTCTATTGAGAAAATAAAAAGATGATTGGGAGAGAACTTGCGTTGATTATCATAATGGTTATGTAGAAGCTACTAAAATTAGGTATATAATAAGTATATCATTTTTAGAACCTAATAAAGTGATATCTTAACAGAAGTAATCCAAGTTTTCAACAGAAATTACAACGACTTTCCAAGTTTAATTTAGAAGATATCAATTTGATAAATTTATTAAATTTAAAAATAATAAAATTCTCAAACTAGTAAACTCTTTAAGAGACTATATTTTTATAAAATATTTTAATTTTCATAATTCAAAGATTATTTATTGTTTGTTTCTTTTCATTTAATACATTATATAACATTTAGAAGAAAATTACCTAAATTTGATTAACACCAAAAAATTAATATTTAATAATCAGTTACTTTAGATATATTGAATAGGTCTTTTGTAATCAATTAATACAATAGAAAATTTTACTGATATTTTAATTAAGCAGAAGAAAAATTATAATATTAATTAATTTTAGAATTTTAATTAATCCCAAAATTCTTATTTCTGATATTAACTGATTTATAATTAAGAATCCTAATTTATCCTGTTTAGAATTTATATGATTGAAAGCTCAAAATCTATATTCTAATTTTATAAAATAAATAAATAAAAATGGAATTTTATTTAATAGCAATCCTTTCCTTGATAGCATTGATGGCCTACTTTTTAATTTTAAAACCTTTAGTTCCTTTACTAATATTAAAGCTACAATTAGGAGATAAAGCAATTTTAATGTTTTATCCCATCTCTGGCTTATTGGGTGTATTTACAAAATCAATTAAAAATAATCATGATGTTATGGAAACAATGAATAAAGCTCTTAGAAAAAATCCTAAAGCAAAAGTTATTCTATCTAATTATTTTACCACACCTTGTATCTTGATAACAGGATCAGAATACATCAAGGATACATTCCTAGACCATAATGATTTTGAAAAAATAAATCCATTTATGCTACCTTCCTTTATTTAAAGAGGATTATTAATGATGGAAGGTGAAGATTGGAAAAGATAAAGAAAGTTTTTAGGTTCTGCATTTACATTTGAAAAATTAAAATCAAGATTACCTATGATGAACAAGGTTGTCTAATCAATAGCAGAGAAGGATGATAAAAAGAATCTAAATGATTTTATGGCTAGAATAACTGGAGAAGTAGTTATTAAAAGCTTTTTTGGTGAATTAGCTGAAGGATTATAATTAGAAGGTAAAGATGCATAAATAGCACTCATATAATTAACTGGTGAAATTGGTTTAATGTAAATAGAAAATATATACATTTTTCTAAAATAATTATTATTTAAAGAAAGAGCATGGGATATTTTTCCTGGTTAAAAGGAGAAAGATATAGTAAGAAGAGTAGAGAATTTAAAAATGAAAGTTAAGGAATTAATTGTAAAAAGAATTGAATAATTAAGGGAAAACCCAATTCAAGATGAAGGTAAGATGGTTTTTCTAGATTTATATGTAACTGAATACTTAAAATAATAAAAATAAAAAGAGTAATAGATAGAAATTGAAGAAATACTACATCAATTTATTACTTTATTCTTTGCTGGCACTGATACTACAGCCACAACTTCTGGAACTTGTTTATATTATTTAGCAAAATATCCAGAGATATAATCTGAAATCTTAGAAGAAGTATAATAAGTTATTGGAAATAATGATGTTAATGAAGAGAATTTGAATAAGCTTAATAAAATTAATGCTTTGATTTAAGAAGTTTTTAGATTGAAGAATCCAGCATTTGTTACTCTTTTTAGAACAGTGAAACAAGATAAATAGGTTTAAGAGATTAAACTTAAAAAAGGATGGGTAATAGTATAAATGTAAAATGCAAATAGTATTTAAGACTCACATTTTGATAATGCTACTGAATTTAATTACAAAAGATGGTTAAACAAAGGAAATGTTATTAAAAATGATAATGGTTTTATTCATATTCCTTTTGCAGCAGGGCCAAGAAATTGTATTGGATAACATATGGCATTGATGGAAGCAAAAATTATCATAGCATTAATTGTTAGAAAATATAAAATATTGTTAAATCCGGCAGTTGAGTAAATTAGATTTGGAGTCAAATTTTTATAATGCGTTGAACCAGACAATTGTCTTTTATTTGAAAAAAGAATATGAAGCATTAAATTATTTAAACGATTTAATCATATTTAATATAATAAAAATTATTATTTCTTTTAATTTATATTTAATAATATCAAATTTGATGATTAGACTTTAAAAATATAGAAATTGATACAAGTAATTTGATAAATGAAGAAGATTGAAAAAAAAAGTTTATTATTAATTTATTATTATTAACTAATTGTGAATATTAATTATGTAAGAAATTTAGATAGTGGTACCTTATCGATAAAATATTTTGAAATCAATAATATTTTATCTTCTTTGCATTTTATCGTTAGGTTTAGTCTATGTTGTAGCTACTTGGCATTATAAAATTTGGGCAATATTGAGAATGTCTAAATGCGAAATATTTACAGCAGAGTACTTCAGAATAGACTCAAAAGATGGTACATAAGTAATTGTTCCAAGCCATCATTATATACAAAAAGGATTAGATTATATTGTAAGAATTGCATATAAAATTAGGGTTTTACATATAGATATCAAAGATTTATTTATAGAGAGGGAAGATTTGAAAAAATAGTCTTTTAACTTTAGAATAATAAAGCAGCTCATCAGAAGGATCATTTAAAGTCAATAGAATTGTTAAAAGATTATTAAAACCTTTATGGAATTAATTCAACAGAGATTCCCAGAAAACCAATTTTATCTATCCTTATTGATGAATTAATGCATCCTTTGTTTGTTGTGTAGCTTCTTCAAATATTGTTATGGATTTATGAAGAATATACTAGTTATGCTATAATATTACTATTAACATCAATTATTTCAATGATAGATACATTATTTGAATATAGAGAGAGTTATCGTGAAATAAGATTGAATTCTAAATTAGAGCATGAAGTGAATATAATTAGATTTGGATAAAAAATAAAAATACATTCAAGAGAGTTAGTACCAGGAGATATTATATTAGTTGAGCCTTTTCAAGTGATTGCTTGTGATTGTGTACTTATATAGGGTACATGTATTGTGTAGGAGTAATTTTTGAATGGTGAATAAACTCCTATAACAAAAAACAATTTACCAGATGATGATTAAGCTTTTATATAAAAGGATGGAAATATGTTATATATGTCTACATTTTGTTTGAGAGCTGATGAAAATTGTTTGGCTTTTGTTGTTTCAACAGGTTTTAATACAAAGAAAGGTGAGTTAATAAGAGAGGTAATGTTAACACCTGATTATTCATTTGATTTCTATGATGATAGTATGAGATATTTAAAATATTTAAGTATTGTGGCTATAGTTGGTTATTTAATTGCCTTACCATTTAAGATTTATTATTTAATTACTTATCCATTTATAGAAGCTACTGATTTAATTACTGATATATTAGATCTATTGGCAGTATGTGTCCCTCCTACTCTTCCTACAACATTATAAATAGGATTAAGTTTAGCTTTGAAGAGATTTAAAAAGAAGAAGATATTTTGTTTCAATCCAAATAAAATAAATTTAGCAGGAGTAGTCAGTTAAGTTTGTTTTGATAAAACAGGAACACTAACAGAGGATGAATAGAGACTTTATGGAGTAATTGAAATGAATAATCAAGGGTAGTTGAATCCTCTTTTGAAGGATTTTGATAATTTAAATAAAATAATAAGATTAGTTATGGCTTGTTGTAACAATATTGTAAATGAAGAAGAGATTATATATGGAGATCATTTAGATTTAGCATTATTCAAGAATAGTTCTGCAAAAATATTTTATAGAACTGTATTGTTGGATGGAATAAATTATGATATTGTAAAAACATTTGAATTTACATAAGAATTATAAAGAATATGTTGTATTATTCATAATTAATAAAATCATAATAAATATTCATTGGTTAAGGGATCTCCTGAAAAGATTAAATAAATTTGTGAAAATATTCCAGAGGATTACACTTCAGTTTTTAAATATTATAGTCATCATGGATTTAAAGTTATTGCTTGTGCATATAAACCATTATTATAAGAAGATGTAATTCCTACTCGAGAATATTCTGAATCAAAATTATCTTTTTTATGTTTTTTAGTATTAGAAAATAGAGTAAAAGAAAATGCAGAATAAGTAATTTAATAGTTGAAAAGTGCAAAAATAGATATAATTTTAGTTACAGGAGATAATGTATTAACATCAATGAGAGTTGCTAGATAAATTAGAGTAGTTGAAGAAACAGAATAATTGGTATATGGAGAGCTTATAGAAAATAATAATGAATTATAAATAGATTGGAAGGATATGGAATAATAATTTAAAGAAATTGAAAATTAAATGCATAATGATACAAGAACATTATGTGCTGAAATTTTATAATAGAAATTACCTAATTCTATTAGTAAATTCAATTTTGATGCTAAATCATTTGAAAATTTGGACAATAACATAGCTATTGTAAATGATGAAGCTCAAGAATAATTACAAAAATCAGCTACTCTTGCAATTACAGGAAAATTGTTTACCTATTTAATGAATTAAGCAAAAGATAATAAAGATTATAAATATATTGATTAATTAATAACAAAAACTAAAGTTTATGCAAAAATGAGAAGAGAACATAAAGCTGAATTGATTAATTACTTAAAAACTAAAAAATAGATTGTATTTTGTGGTGATGGAGGTGCTGATATATAAGCTATGCGTACTGCAGATGTTGGAATAAGTTTAACAAATACAAAATTGTCTTTAGCTGCTCCATTTACATCTGGATAGGAAGATTTGAGTACAGTACCAATTATTTTAATTGAAGGTAGAGGAGCATTGACTACATCATTTTAAGCTTTTGAATATATGACAATGTGTTCATTAGTACAATTTTTAAGTTGCACAATCTTATATTTCTAATATTCATACATGACTAATTCCTAATTTCTTATTTTAGATTTATTTGTTGTATTACCACTTAGTATTTTAATGACTTACACTGATAATCTTATGAAATTAACAACAGAAATTCCATAAAGAAGTTTAGTTAGTGTAGAAGTGTTATCAATAATATTAGGATAATGTTTTATTTAATTGACATTTCAAATGCTCATATATCTTATATTAATTTATTAAGATTGGTATAAGGATCCTGTTACATTATCTCGTTAAGAATATGGTGAAGCAGGTTTTATGCAATCATTTGAAGCAACATCATTATTTTTAGTTACTAATTTCTAATATATTATGTTATCAATATCATTATCATATGATCCAAGATTCAAAAAACCATTTTATTCAAATAGACCTTTTACTATTTATTTAATTCTCCTATTCATATTTGAATTGTATTTGCTTATGTTCACATATAGAGATGACACAGAAGATGACTATCTAAATGTATAAAAAATTTATTTATTTTAACAAGCTTACATTCAAAGTACAAGGATACGAAATGCCATAATCATGGCTCATGTTTCTACTTGGGATGATTATATTGAATTCTACTTTAACTCACACCTATTAAATTTATGGTGTTCCATATGTTATTATAAAAATGAAAAATAAATTATGAATATTTTTTATAAATTATAACTAATAATAATTTATAACATCTAATGTCAGAAAAATAATAAAATTCACTTCCTTATCAAGAGCTTTCAAATCTTAAAGAGAATTAAAAATTTTAGAATTTTGAAAGAGCATTGCCAATTAAAGATTTTTTACTTTAGATAGATGACAGAGATTATGATAATGAATTTTAATATCTCAAACAAATTACTTAAACTAGAGAACATGATAGATTATTTTATAGAGATGCATAGATATAGCATTTAAATAGATATGCTGATATCCTTCCTTGTAAATATTAATTAATAAATTAAGATGTTCATTCTATAGTAAAACCTTAATTAGATATTTAAGATAAAACTTATTACATTAATGCAAATTATATTAGAGATATAAACAATTGGGAAAGGAAATATATTGCTACCTAAGGTCCTTTAAAGTAATCAGTTTAAGATTTTTGGCATATGATATGGACTAATAATGTGGGTGTAATAATAATGTTATGCAAATTATTTGACAGATAACGAGTATGCTGCAAGATATTTACTTTAGATCTAATGCGAAAGATATTGGCCATCTGATTAAGCAATTTATGGGCCTTATTAAATTGATAAAATTTCATGTTAAGAATCAAATAAGGAAGTATTTGAAAGTAGTCTAATTATGAAATCAAAATAGAAATAGCATTAAATAAGTCATTATTAATGGTGTGATTGGCCAGATTTTGGAATTGTTAAAGAAGATTCATATTAAGTTCTTGACTGGTTGGCTGGAATAGCAAATGAAGCAGCATAAGATAATAAAATACCAGTGATTCATTGTAGTGCAGGAGTAGGTAGAACAGGAACATTTTTAGCAATTTGTCATATAAAACAGTTACTTATTAAAAATGATGCCTAAATTTCAATTTTTAGTATAGTAAGAAGATTAAGAGAATAAAGACCATTTTTAGTATAATCAGTGTAATAGTATGAGATGATTTATAAATATACAATTTGGTTGTTGAAGAATTTGAAATATATGTGATTTAAATAAATATTTATAATTAAATGGATTAGTAAGCGATGACTAATGCCCTTGGGAATTTAAGTATGATATTTGTTTTTCTATAAAAGAGCGGCAAAATGAGATTCGTTAACAATAAAAGCAATAAAGTAGTATTCCAGATCAATAGACTGAAAGTAATGTTTATAATGATGATTTTGATGGTGATGATGCTATTCTTAATGTTATTAAAAGTAAAGATAAAAAGTTAACTTTTATTTAGCTGCCCAAGATTAGAAACCTAAACAATAACCATAATCTGCTTAGCCAAAAAGACCTGAATCTTCAAATAAAAGAACTGCTTCAATGCCAAAGAAGAAGCCATATTCATTTAATAAGTTGAATGAAGGAGAGAAAGAGAAATTATTCTTAGATGTTTATGATGAGAATATAAAGTTAAAAGAAAATTAGGTAAAATTTGAAAAAATGTATGGGACTATGGAAGTTAAATTATAATAAATGTAAAAATTTATGGGAAATAAAACTGTTGGTGCAGGGGAAACTAATGAATCTAATAATTAATTAGTATCAAAAGTAAATAATTTGGAAACTGAAAATGAAAAATTAAAATAAAAGATATAAGCTATTTCTTAAGCATAAAGAGTTGTTGTTGCACATTAACCTATGAAAAAAAAGAAATTAGTATAAGCAGATAGACCAGAGATTGAATAAACTGGAATAAGAGGTGGTTAATTTGTAGATTAATAAAATCAAATAAAATAATTGTTAGATTTAAATGATAAATTAAAGAAACGATTACTTGAATAAGAAGCATAATTTAGATAACTTTAAGCAATGATGAATTCTAAAATTGTTAATCAATAAGAATTAAGTTAAAAAAATGCTTAATTTGTAACACTTTAAGAAAGATGCAATAAATTAGAATCTAATTTAAATGGTATGAGAACATAATTAGATGATGAACGTAAAAGACAGAGTGAAATTATGATGCTCTTAAGAGAAGAAAAAGAAAAGAATCATTTATTGGAAGGATAAGTTAGATCTATGGAGTTGGCATAAAAAAGTGTTGTTGATTTATAAGCAGATTTGTAAGAAGCAAGAAGATAAAAGAAGGAGATTGAAGAAAGATTAGCAATTTTAATGGAATCACCATTTTTTAAGGAATATAATGAAAGAGCTACTATATAAGCTAAAATGAAAGCTATGGAATAAGAATAAATAAGGAATGCTACAGATTTAAAGAATTTAAGAGAAACTAATGCTAAGTTAGAAACAGAAAATAGATTGAAAAGAGAAGATATTGAAAATCTTAAAAAAGAATTAAAATTATTATAAGAGAGAAATTAAGAATTAAATATAAAGATGGCTGAAAAAGATTAGTAATTACTTCCATTTAAAGATTTAAATTATTGGGATAATGATTAATTTTTAAAAGTGTTAGGTAATCTAAAATGGACTGGAGAAGATCCTGCTTGGAGAAAAATAGAATTTATAGATCGTACTTATATGGATTCTGATGATCCTGTTTATTTAAGAAAAGAGATTGAACATTTAAAACTTGAAAAAGGAGAATTGGCTGCACATTTAGAAAAAACATAAACATTACTAAAGAATTAATAAGATATATAAATGGAAAAAGATAAAATGCATTAGACATAAATAGAATAATTAAAATTGGAATTAAAGGTTGCAAATGAAAAAGCTTATGAATATGCAAAAATAGCTGATCTTAAAACTTAGGCAAGATAATAATAAACATTGTATGAAGCTGAGGGAATCAAATATGATGATTCTATATCTGTATTCTCAGTTGACAAAGATGAAATGTTATCTCCAGGAGAGAATTTCTTTGATTTATGGATTGGAAAAGGAGAGTATTAACCTGCTGAATTAGTATCTTCATATAAGACTTCTACTCAATTAAATTTGGATCTTGGAAGTCTATTGACATTTGTTACAATTGATTTCTATGATCATGAAACACAACATACAAGTGTATCAGAAGGAACATCATGTTTTTATAATTTATAAATAAGTTTTAAAGTTGATGCTGATGCTAATTTTATTTAATATCTTGAAAGCAATTATTTAAAATTAGAACTTTATGTTAGTTAAGGTAGTGAACCTACAAAGATTGGATCAGGATTAATTTAATTGAAAGATTTAGTTTATGAGAATAAAAATGATACTATCAGTAAAGTTATTAGTGGATCTCTTACTTTTCATGGAATCAATAATTAAATGATAGGAATAGTTGAATTTAAAGCAAGAATGAGATTTCCAATTTCAAATTTTATACGTTTATTAAAAGAAAGAAATTAATTATAGATGTAAGAATTTGATGATGCTGAAGAGATAGTTGCAGTAAGAAAAAGAAAACTTGTAATATGTATTGAAAAGGGTACATCTCTACCTTCTAAATCTAATTGTTTCATTTATTATAATTTTGATACTAAAGATTTTCATACAAATACTTAAATGGGATCTAATCCAAAATGGGATTATAGAATGGTTCATGATATTGTATATAATGAAATGGTAGTCAATTAATTTAATAGAATGCCTTTAGAATTATATATAATTGATGATAATCAACCTTTAGTAGAAGGATCAAATGATAAAGTGGGATTCTGTTTAATTGATTTATCTCCTTTAGTTAAAAATCAAATGATTGATTTAGCAGCAGAAGTCAAAAATGATGATGGAGATAAAGTAGCATCAGTTTATGTTAAAATCTTTTGGTATGACGTAAAGGATGAAGATACATTAAATTAATAGAGATCTATGATTGCAGAATCTTGGGAAGAAAATATTACTCATAAAATAAGTTCAGAAATGAGATCTAGAGGATTATTGGGCATTACTGCTTTTAGAGTATTTGATAAGGATTAAGATTAAATTATCACTTTTGAAGATTTTGCTAATGGTTTAAAGAATGTCTTAAGTATCAAAATGAATCCTTAAGAAATGTAAGTTTATTATTCTAAATTACCATAACCATTAAATTAATAGAAATTCTAAGAGTTTTTCCGTTTGTAATCTAATGAGAGTGTTATGTATGAAGCAGGATTTAAATCATAATATCAAACTTAAGAATTATCATCAATAAATTAATTAATGTAATAAAACACTATGTAATTGCAAAGAACTTAATTAGAATAGATTCATAATTCTATTTATGATTTATTGAAAAGAAAACTTTCTTATGGTAAATCAGTTTAAGAATTATTTATGGAAATTGACTCTGTAAAACCTGATGGACAATTAACTATAGATGAATTACAAAAGTATTTCTAATAAAATAGTTTACTAATACCCATTGCTTAATTAAGAGATTTTCTAAAATTTTATATGGATATTAATAATGATCAATTAATCAATTTTAGAGAATTTACTAATTTCTTTAAATTGATTCCCACTTCTTAACAATAATAGGTATATTCACAATCTTCATTTCGATAAGGCAGTAACTAAAGAGTACAATCTAATTTCCCAAGCATATAAGATACTTAATTATCTCAATCTCCAATTGATATAGCAATTACTGCAATTCTTAATTATGGTTAGGCAAGATAATGGACTTTAATGTAGGTAAGAGAATTCATGGATGAAAACAGAAATAGTTTTATTGAAGCAAATGAAATGAAAAAGTTTCTTATATAATTTGGAGTTCATAAAAATTTACAAAATGGTGATGATGATATAAGATAAATTATAGCATTCTTTGATATTAATCATGATGGAAGAATATCCATTTCTGAATTTGCAGATACATTAAATACGTATAATAATAGATTATAGATTATTAAAGCATAACCAACTTAATAAAATATCTAAAATTATGTTGTTGGTTATCTTATTACTTATATGAGAAAGAATAGAAAAACTGTTCCAGAATTGTTTAATGATATTGATTAAGATGGAAATGGTTATTTATCAAAAGTTGAGTTGAAGAACATTTTTAAAAATAAAATTGTAATCTAATTTAATCTATTTTCTTTATTAGTTGGTACCTGTTGATGAATTTGAATTAAATGAGTTATTTATGGAATTTGATAAAAATAAGGATGGTCATATTAGTATATAAGAGTTTTTGTAAATTGTAAAACCAGCTCTTGATCAGGATAAAAATGATCTTTAATTTAATTAATAAGGAATTGATAAAGAAAAGGTTGCTCGAAAAGCTGAAGAAATATGTTTTAAAAATGCTAGAGTTCTTCAATTAGCCTTCTAATCTAAAGCCTAAAAACCTGGCTATGTAACTGAGACATAGTTCAAATAAATTCTTAGAGAATAGAAAGTTGGATTCACTCCCAATGAAATAGACGATTTAACAGTATATTTATCTAAATTTAATTTATAGATATATGTTATTTAACCAGAAAATGGAATGATAAATTACAATTAATTCTTAGATCTAGGTAAACTTAGAGGAGCATAACAATCTGATATATTTGGCTAAACTAGTAGATCAGGATTTGGTTCTTTAAGTCAAATAGAATAGGAGAGAGCCATAGGTAAAGCTAAAGAAGTATTAAATAATATATATTATATTAGGTTTTCAATAGAATTTCAAGAGCTGTAAAAAATAAATATACTCCTTAACAACTTTTTGCAACTTTTGATAAGGATTCAAATGGAAAAATTAATAAAGCAGAATTAGCAGAAGTATTTTCAAAGATGAGAATTAAAAATCTTGATAAAGATGATGTTGAACTTATTTTCAAAGCATTAGACAGAGATGAGGATGGATAAATTGATGTAAAGGAATTCATCAAATATCTAGAATGATAAAATATTATTCATTTATAAAAATAATAAAATAAAAATAACAGCCGATTGAGAGAATTGAACTCTCGACCCTTTGCTTACAAGGCAAAAGCTCTAACCACTGAGCTAAACCGGCTCGGTTGAACTTTTTATGATTCTTTTGGTTATCAGTGGCTTCAAAAAAATTATAGGAAATAATATTTTTTAAGAAATATAAAAATATTTCATAAGAGACTTAAATATTATAAAAATAATTAATAATATAAGTTTATTTGAGATTCTATATATTATAAAATTTATACTTTTCTACTAGAATATAAATTCTATAAAATAATACTTTTTCAGAATTTTAAATTAGATAAATGGTTTTTTTATACATTAATAAAATCTAAAGTCTACTTCTATAAGCAACATTAATATTTATGAATGAAAGTACTATTCAGAATTAAGATTGTTCTAAAAGAATTTTTACAGATGTCTTAATTTATTATGAAATCAAAAACAATCAAAAAGATCTATATTATATTATAATCTTAAGAAAGAATCCTTTGAGTAAAAAAGAATAGAATATATAAAGAATATAAATTGAAAATTTACAGGATAAATTATAAATCAATAACAACAATACTTAAATCTCTGAATTATGGAAGAACAAAATATAGTTTCAGATAATCAATTTGAAGAATAAATCAATGATCCAATAGAATACAATATGGAGAAACAATAATATGATAAAAGAGTATTTAGTTATAATTCAAAATCCAAAAAAAAATATTAGAAGATTATTGAAAAATTAGAAAATCTCAAAAAGACAGAATTAAAAAAGAAAAATAAAGATAATTAATAATTTAAATTGGAAATTGAAGGAGATGATTATAGTGAAGTTAAAAATAATTAAGAGAAATTGAAAATTTTAAAAGAAATTATGAGTTCTGTTCCTGCATATTTGTTAATGAGTCCAGCTTAAAAAAGGAAATATTTCAAAACTGTTAATACACAATTTTATGAAACTTTATAGAAAGAACTAGGATCATAGTGTTCTCACTAAAAAAGTGTACAATTTGATCTTGACAGGAATAAAATCAAAAGTATTCCACACTTGTAATATTTTTAGCTTTTAAGTAGAGTGATAATGTATTTGAAATTTCATAGTCATTGATTTGATATTTATAATTAATATAAATAAAGCAGAGAAATTGATACTAAAAAGCTGTCATTTTTTTAGATTATTGTTTAGTCCAGGTTTAAAGCGACTACATTATATATAAAATTTACATACGCTCTAACAAAACGAAGTTTAAGCTCTATATATTTCTTCTCTATTCCTTCATCTCCTTCATTCATCTTCTAAAATTCAATAGTTGTATCATCTTCTTTTAGTATTTGATTGAAGGATTGACTCATATTAGATCTTAATTTCTATCCATTTAATAGATTCTCCAAATTAGAATCTGGAGAAATAGAGATAAGATGATCATATTGATGAATATTTGGAGTACCAGAATTATTAGACTTACTATTCTAAAATTTTGAATTTGAATTAAAAGAAATTCTACTTAATCGACTTAAAATACTAGGTTGTATTCCAATCATAATACTATTATTAAAATCATTATCTGAAACAGTATCATTATTACTACTGATAGATTATAACCTATTTTTTTTACGATTAATTTCTGGTGTAAGAGTAGATCTCTTTTTATCAGGCATTTTTAGTAATGAATTCATATCTTACTCTATTGATTAATTTAATTATGAACCTAGAAGATTATTACAAGAAGAAAGATCTTCTTTGGATTTCTTAAACCTAAGAATTTTAAATTAATAATTTACAAAGAAGGTTTGCTATTAAGGAGATTACTGCTTGATGATTATCCTTCTCTATCAGTTTTTTATGAGATTATCCAATCAAAAATAAGTTCTTTTGATAAATAATTATGTTCATTTGAAATCTTTCTGAATAATGATAAACAATATTTATAGTTTGGTTCTGATTTAAATGGTAATCCTTTAACATAGTCTAAATATCTAGCAAATTCTATAGGTAATCCTTAACATAATTCATTTGTGTCTATTTTCATTTTTAATTAGCCAACTTAATTTATTTTATCCTCTTCTGATGTAAACTGAAGATTTTACCATGGAAGTTAACCTTAAATTATGTTCCATCAATAAATACCTTTTAATAAGTAGATCAACATATAACATAAAGATTCCATGTCATCTCTTCTACTCAAAGATAATCCCTTATGAGCATTGGTACTTGCATATCGTGTAGTTCCTATAAATGGTTGTTTATCTCTTAAAGATCTAAGATTATAGAATAGAATATTGTTATTACATATGTGATTCGTTTTCATCTTTATAAAACTTACTAATCCCAAAGTCTACAATAAAAAGTTGATTTTCTTCATCCTCTTTACCAACCAAGATATTTTCTGGTTTTATATCTCTATGTATTACATTACTGAAATTAAAACAAATATTTTTACTATTTATGAAGACTTTCTAAAATAATTATCATTTGTTCTGCAATATTAAGAACACATTTTAAAGAAAATTTACGATAATTTTTTAAGTAATGTGTTAAATCTCTTCCTAAATATTGAATCACTAAATATGTTGAATCTCCTTCTCTTCCTGACCAATATAGTTTTGGAATATGTTTTAAATGTTGTAGTCTTCTCAGTATTTCTGCCTATTATGATAATATATTTTTATTTTACTTCTCTTTGAAGACTGGACTCTTCTTTATTTTCCTTATCAACTTTTATTGCTACAAAATTTCGAGTATTGATATCTTGTCCTAAATATACAACACCAAAAGAACCAGAAGAAATTCTCTTTTTGGTTATATATGTATTGTTGATGAGCTTTTAATTATTCATTATATGAAATAATAATTAGTAATTTAAGGAGTGGCTACAGGTTCCTCAACTAAGGTCACTCTTAAACCAAAGCCAGTACAATAAAAGCCAAAATATTAAGCTCCTCCTCCCAAATAATCTATTAAGAAACAAACAAAAGTTAATGTCCCATAATAGCAATAATAAAAATAATAATAATAGTAATAAAAACCACCTGAAACTAAAGTTGTTCAATTAACAGAGTCAATATTATCAGATAAATCTGAACCAGATTAGTAGCAATTTAAATTGTAACAGGAACCTATTAAATAAAATGAGTTTGCATAAATACATGTACCTGTTTATGGAGAAGTTACAGTCAAATACTCACACTATAATGAAAAGTTTCCAATAAAAGATGGATAATTATTGGCTAAAGCTATTGATGAGAAATATTGTTTATCTTTTGTTTTTCAAGGACAATACAAATTGATTTTAAAATCAGAAGATAAGAAAAAAATATTTGAATTCAGTCGTGGAGGTTGGGATGGATGTGAAAATGGTAAAACCTATTATGTGGAGGTTGAAGAAGATCCAATTCAAGAAGAATGGGATAGAAAAAATTCTAAACCTTATTAAGCTCCAAAAGAAGATACTTGTCCTTTGAAGAATAAAAAATTGGAATTGATTACTTCAGAACTCAAAGCAATGAGCATAGATGAAATTAAAGATAAGGGATCAAAATTTAAAGAACTTATCGAAGCTAGAGATTTGGAGGATATTTTATTCAAATGAATATATATATAATCCAAGTTTGGAACTCTATTATTATAATTCTTTGTTTTTTTTTTTGATTCTCTCTTTAAAAATTAATTACTTTTTATTATTATTATTAGTTTTGATGATTTTTAATTAATATTAATATTTTTTATAATATAGAATTCATTAATGAATTTTAATTATTTTAGTAGAAATTCAAAAAGAAGTTATTTAATAATAAATAAAAATCAATGTAATTATTAATATCTTCTATTAAGAATGCAAAAATAATTAAATTAAGAATTACAATTATTGAAATATTTTGAAAAATAAAATAAATAAATAAATTTAAGGAACTTATCTTTGTAGATTTAAGTAAACCTAAAATGAATTTGAATAGAAACTAAAGTATTTATAAGTTTTTTATTTGTTTTTAATATTATTTTTATAACTGTTTATATGTTAATTATATTTAATATAAACTATTAACTTTAAAGAACATTTTATATTATAGATAACTTATTCAAAGTTAAATAGGTATTGTTAATTGGGATATCGATTGAGTATGAATATAATTACTTTAAATACTAAATTATATTATGCATTAAAATAAATTTAATATTTAACTGCTAATTAAATGTCTAATAATTCACCCTTTTAAGTATATCTTAGAGTTAAGCCCTTGTTAGATAATAAGTAATAATATTTACAATTTCTAGTCAGGACAGTCTTATTTAAGAGTTAGATGAAAAGAGAATAGTGATTACCAAATAGGGTAGAAATAATAAAGAGTTTCATTTTGATCGTATTTTTAATAACGAAAACAATGCTTAAATCTTTTCTGAGATTCTCTAAGTATTTTTTATTTATCTAAAGTTATAGCATAATATAAATTATTTCCTTGAAGGTTATAACACAACTATTTTGGCATACGGTATAACAGGATCTGGCAAAACACATACAATATTTGGTAATGAGAAAGACGAGGGACTTGCATTCTAATGTTTAAATTATTTAGTTGAATAAACAAAGTATTTAAGCAATTTAAGTTAGTGCTTACCCAAATGCATTAGTAGAAGTGAGTTTTATTGAGATATATAATGAAACTATAAGAGATCTATTAAATACTAATTAAAAATCATTAGTAATTATGTAGGATAGTTAAAAAGGATAATATATATCTGGAGTATAATAAATGGTTTGTAAGAATTGTGAAGAAGTGAAAGAAGTATTGAACCTTGGGAATCAAAATAGAAGTCTGGCTTAAACTATATATAATGTTTCATCTTCAAGATCCCATGCTGTGATTTAGGTAAACTTATCATATAAGATTGACAAGTAAAAATGTTATAATAATTTTTAAGTTAAATTCTAACTCCAAAATTATTTATTGTAGATTTAGCAGGTTCAGAAAAAGTCTATTTGGAATAGAAGTCAAAAAACTAATAAGAAGGTTCCAATATTAACAAATCATTATTGGCCTTAAGTCATTGTTTAACGATGTTATCAGATAAAACTAAGAAAAATTAACATATTCCATACAGAAATTCAAAACTTACCAGACTCTTATAAGACTCTTTAGGGGGAAACACAAAAACTATAATGATAGCTTGTGTATAATAGAATAAGTAATCATATGATGAAATTTTGAATACATTGACATATTCTTAAAGAGCTACATAAATAAAGAGACAGGTTCAAAAAGAAATAACATCTATTCCACAGAATCCAAAATCAGAAGATCTATCTCCTACGAATGAATCTTAATAGTCAGGAGATTCCTCTTCTAAATCAATCTATTTAACTAAAATTTATAATGATATCTACTCAAATGTAGAAGAATATTATGAGATTAATAATTCAATAATGGAAATTTAATCATAAATTTAAGCAAATTCTTAAAAAATTGAAGAAACTCAAGAAACTAAATAAGAGGATGAAAATTATATGAAATTGTTAGCAGCATAAAAAGAAAATCAAATAATTGAAAAATAATTATAGAATGCATTAAAAACAAATTTATAATAAAAACAGATATTAAAATCTTTACTTCTTTAGATTACAGAAGAATAATAATCAACTATAAATTATTGGAAATAAAGATTTGCAGATTTATCCAAATAAATATTAGACATGAAATCTGATTAAGAGAAATCACAATAAGAATTAGTTTCAAAAGATTTACTCATTGCTTAATAAAAAACAATAATAGAATCAAATAAATTACCAAAAAATTAATCATAATATACAACAAGTGGAGATTCAGATCAATCATATCCTATTTCATTTTCATCTTCTACTAATAATTCTTAAATTAAAAAGAAAGCATCTATTACATAATAACCTGCTGAAGATAGACCTAGATTTGCTAATATTTCTCACATTAAATAGAGATTATCACCAAGAGATAGATCACCTGCAAGTAGTATTTTTGGAACTTCACCTGTTAGATCACCTTTAAAACATCATTCAATATATAGAAATTTAAGTAATAAATAATATATAAATTTAGATTCAATTTCAAAAGATGATTCAAGAGAATTATCAAAAGATTTATCAAATCTTAGTATTCATAAAAAGTCACGTGTTGTTGATCCCTAAATTACAACAATAAATTTATATGGAACTACTTACATAAATGTAATAGATTAAAAAGAAAATAACTGAAAATATTATTTATCTCATCTATGAATGTTTAATTTAATTTAATAAATTATAAATCTAAACAACCTAATCAAAATTTAAATTAAAAAAATTAATATTATATTTTTAAAAAATGTTATAAGGATAATAAAATATTTTTATTATTAATTTTAATTCATAAATGATATATAAATTAAATTTAATTATTAATATACTTCTCATTTACAATTAGATATAGAAAATATTTAAAATGAAATAGCTTAATTATAAAAAGCTTTCTTGATATACTTTTAAAGTTTATTAAAATTGATGAAAAATATAAATTTATATTATATATATAATTCTCCAAATGGTAATTTATATTTTAGAATAATCAATAATACAAAAATCTATATTCAAAATAATCTAAATGGAATAGAGTTTGTTTAACGATTACAAACTACACAGATTTCGATTTAATCTTTGCATTTTTTGGATATAAGAGGAACCCAAAATAAAGGGAGAATAATTATGAATAAAATACCAGCTAAAATATATGTATTTGATCCATTTTTAAATAATACTTAGGTTGGTTTTCTTGTATTGCAAAATTAACAATAGATCTTAGATGGTTATGATACTTTTATTGGTTTTTCATATTCATACTTTTCAACATTATCAATAATAGTAAAATTTGAAACCATAGGAAGTTTGTTTTAATTAGCCTATGGGAGATTATTTTTTTCATTAGTTATTATATAGATATTAGTAATATTTTCGACATCCGATTAAGTGCTACTTTATTTATTAACGCTTAGTTTAAAAAGTTCTTATTCTACTTTTTTCTAAGCTTTGAAAGTTGGACTGTCTGGAATGTAAGAGAATTGTTAAGGTACTTAATTAGGATTGTTTTAATTTTGGTTTTGCTTAAAAGAATTAGCACACATGATAATTTAAATTTTTAGATTATAATTATAATAATTATATGTAAATGAAATATTAAATATATTTATGCTGACAACTTGATTTAAGATACATAAAATATTAAAATTTAATTTTGAAAGTGATCACTTTATTATATTAAGAATAAGTTTATAAATAGAGTTATAATTTGATAAGTTAAATAAAATGTAATTTTATTTATATATATCGAATTAAATCAGTTTATTCAGTCAGTCTGTTAATTAACAAAGCATAGCTACACCTCTCTTCACCCAATGATGTTATGATTATTCAGTTGGCATATTGACATTCATAATGAAATTCGTAGAATGACCAGTGGTGGAGAGAACACCTCTTCTTTCAGCAGTTTTGTAGACAGGACAAATATATTAATTTTTAATGTCTATTTCCCCTTATATTGGTTTAAGCCAGATGATAGGTGCCAAGGTTGTAAGTACTTTTGGATTAGATTCTACAATCATTTCTCGACCATAATCCCATCTACATCCTTCTAAAAAGAGTCCAAAAATAAGAGTACCATCTAAAATATAGGTGATAATAGATTACCATTAACTTATCGAGGTAATTGATTTATTTCAAAATTAGATTACGGCTCTTCAAGAAATTGGAAATCAAAATCTAATTTGTCTATTGCTATTGAGTATTTTCTGGCATGATTTTATAGGACAGCAGTAAGGAAGGATTAAGTAAAGAAGAAACCTGAGATCCAATGGACATAGGGGATTTATTTATCTAGCCAATTTTAGAAATATCTAATTCTTCTGAAGAAATCTTATAGATAAGAAGCAAGGGGTTTTAATGAAGGATAACTATATTTTTTCCATTATTCTGGTACTGTTCCAATAAGAAATGATTAAGTAATTTTCTCCAATTAATCAGACATTGCTGTTAAACCTTTGATTGCATTTAATGTATCAATAAATGATTACTAAATGATTGAGATTAATTTATTAAATCTTGTTATTTCTTATTAGAAAACAGTATTAAAAGAGTTCTTATAATCATGAGGATATTTAGCATTAGCAATTTCCATATCAAATTTTCTAGGGAAATTGGCAAGGTACTCTTCACATAATTGTTTAAGAATATTATCTGCTTTTTTAGATTCATCATTTTATTAACCATCAGTATATGAAGATCCTAGAGTTTATTACAATTTTCTTAAAATTTCATCTGTATATTGTTAATCCTTCATTATTTCAGCATTTGGATGGAATCCAAAAAGATGAGTAGGTTAAACTAATGGTAGATTATTCAATTGATTTAAATATTCTTCATATGATAAACCTTCAATGATTGGAAAATCTTATATTTAGAAAGTGTCTAATGTTACTTTCTCAGTCAAATATTCATCTAAGAGTGCTCTAACTACTCTTCTATCTCTTTCATCAGTCACTCTACCTCCATAATTGCATTCTCCAATCAAATAATGTAATGCATAAAAAGGAATAGAGACATCGGCAGCCATTTATTAAAGTTACCTTATTGATATAAATAGATCAGATTGATTAAAATCATAATAGATATTAAATCCAATAGGTCCATAATTTCTACGTTCTTGTAATATAGCATGGAAAAATGATAATGCATAAAATAGTTTAGATAATTTTTTATTTGAATAATCTAATTGTTAATATAGAGCACTAGAATAACTGACTTATAGATTCGATTTTATACCAGTTGGAGGTTCATTTGTCATCTTTACACTACTTTAAACAATAGATGCAGGTAAATCTTCACTAGGATAACTAGTTAACCAAAGTCTAAAATGATTATGCATTTTCTATGTTTATATATCCTCTATAATCTTTTCTAATTTTGGCATCCATGATGGATATAAATGACAATTTTATAATATCACCCATGATCCTGATTATTTTGCATCTTCGATTTCCTTTTCTGCAATTACACCTTATCCTTAACCTAATGAAACAGATCTTAATTAAATATCTTTCTATTTAGCAAAATTAAGTAAAGCATTCATTGGATCAGTACCTGGCAATACAAATAATAATGGGGACTTTGGATTACTACCCTGAAATGATTAATGAAGAGAAAATGATGGAGGTTGAGTATATTTTTCTCCTAATTCTGAAGAAACAAAGTCTTATATCACTTTAGGCAATTTTCCAGGTCTTAAAGCTTTTATTATGCACATTCTTTAAATGGGTGTGATGATAATAAAAGGTTCAGGCAATCTAATTGAATGGCCATCAGGTGAGTTTAATAATTCCATCCAAACTTCAGGGAAATTACGCATACTATCTACAATTTATGATAATTTCTTGTTCACTTTAATTAACACTTATACTCTTGCCCATGCTTAATTTGGTAACCATTCTTTGAAAGGATTTTCTGGTACTTCATTTGGAATAGTTATTTATCTAATAATGAAGGAGAATTCTTCAAAATCTATTTATTTCTTTTATTCAAGAATTTTAATCAAAATGATAAAACTGTAAAGTAATTTATCTTTTTCAAATAATCCTCTACAAACTTAATTGTAAATTAAATTTAATGTCATATTATTAATGTTATTTATTCTTTATTGAATACGTTAACTTGGTTCACTTTTGATGAATGCTTCCTAATATAAATTTAATAACCAAGTTAAAGAGTATTAATACATAGAATCTAATTAGGCTAAGGATATGACTGCAAAGAAGAGTAAAGCACCATGAATTGCAATTGGTTTGTATTATACTCTTGCTTCATCAATCTTTCTTTCTGTATATTCTGATGTCTCTTATTTCTCTTCAATATCTTTTGATTTCTCTTTAGATGTCTATAAAATTTAAATAGCTTCTTCATCATTAAGTATATTTTCAGCTTTATTTAAAACTCTAAGAATTTAATCTTCTATTTTTTATAATTCTTATTTATTTTTGTGTTATTATAAAATCTATCTATTTTTCTCCTCTTCTAAATTTGGTTACTCTTTGCTTACACATATTTCAAGTAGTTAATCTTCTAATCCACTTTAAGTAATAGTAAAATTGATAATTGTAACTTTAGTACTAATTTCAGGAGTATAATGAGGATTACTTAATTTAGTAGTCATAAATAAATTAAATTATTTATTATAGGGTATTATGTTGTCTCCAATACGTACTGACATAACTCCAGCATTTTTGAATATTTATTTAAGTAGCACAGAATCAATAGTTGAATCAATATCCTCATATACATTTTCAATGAGTAAAGGTTATCCAAATTAGAGAGTATTTTCTAATGTTCTCAAAAAATCACTATCTGTAAATTTAACTAATTTTATATCTTTTTCATTTTATCTAATAAATCTATTTCCTTGTCCTTATGGATCTATTAATAAAGGAAATCTTTGACATCTATTCATGATAATTCCATTTTCAATACTAAATTAATCACTAGGTAAACCATTCATTCTCCATTATCTAATTAAAATAGGTTATCCAAGAATATTTTATAATGAAAAGTTTTCAGAGAATTACATATGACCTTATAAGTGATCCATCCACATTTTTATAGTTTTCTATCTAAAACTATTACTAAAAACTCCTAAATAAGCAATAGTTCCAGATGATAATATAATATCTCCCTATACTTATTTTAATCTCTATTCATAAATAGTTGATGATTTACTCCATCTTTCTCTTTCACCTCCTAATCCTTCCATCAACTTTGTAGCTCTTTACAATTTAACTTCACATTCTTTAATATCTCTATCCAATTATTATTGATTATTTATAGTTTCCTAATAAGCCTATTCTAACTTATTAATCTCTGTTGTTAATACAGATAGATCTTATTATAATATTTTCAATGATTCTTATAATCTAGCTACTTCCTATTATGATTGAAGATACTTTTCTTATTTAGGTCTAACAATAGTGAGGACCTTTTCATATTCATCTAAAGCTAAAACCCATTCACATAATCCTTTAGCAGCAGAACTAGCCTTTTCAACTCTTTTTGGATTATATTCTTCCTTTTTAGAAATATAATTATTTCTAACTTTCTGCATAATTTCAGGTTTAATATTATTTTTATCATAACCAATAAGTTTTTATAAGAAATCCTTGTCTGCTAAAAATTTCTTACTTGCTTCCCAATAATCCATAAATCTTTCTTTTGGATTTTCAGGTTTAGGCATACTGATAGGTGGAACTCCACATAAAACACAAACAGATTCCATTACTAATTTAACAGTGATTGGTGGTTTCAACATAGCCTTAATTGAATTAATATCTGCAGGTGATAATGTATTTAAGGCTTCTTCTGCTTATTTTAATTTAGGCTTAGCTACAGATAATTCTTTCTCACATTCTTAATTGATTATTTCAGCTTCCTTAACACATTCTGAAACTCTAGCTTCCTCTTATTATACTTATAATCTCTTAGGTTCCATTGCATCTGCTTATTATTTAATAATAACTGCTAATTTACTGGCTTCAATATTCATTTCAACTAATTTAGGTTATTTTTCAATTAATTCAGCTTCCATTCTCTTAACTTCTTCTTAAGTTTAATCAAGTTTAGTTACTCCATTTTTATACATATTTCTAGTATCTTCTAATTTTGTTTTTTCTACATGTAAAACAGCTTGAAATGTTTTCAATAACTCAAAATAACTACTTGGAGTAACATAATTGTGTCTTCCTTCTTGAGATTTAAATTACTCACTAATAGTTTGTAATGATGAATGCATATATTTGCATTAAGCTACCAATAATCTTTATTGACTATCCTTAATTTATATATCCTCTAAGAATTTTCTAGCTACAGCCTCTAAAGCATCTTCAGGCCATTAATGGAAACAATCAATTGTTGTACAATTTACAATACTAGGAAACATACGTATTCTAGATCTTAAGGTATCACCAATAGGACTCATTGCCATAACAACATGAAGTTTCTTTTTTACACATTCAATAAAATAATCATAAAATTATGCATTATTTCCATTATCAAACAGTTATTATCTACCTTCTTTTTTTGCTTTCAA